TAAATAGAGTAAAACCTAAAATATTAATAAAGATTAATAAATAGTCTAGTATAAGAGCACCTAATATCTTAAGAAAAACTAGAGGACTTATTAATATAATAATAATTAATAAATTAATAGTAATAAATAGACTAAAGAGGATAAAAAGGATTATAAAAAGAATAACTAAAAAAGATAGATTAAAAATAAGAATAAAGAATAAAGTAGCTATAGGCTTCTTCTTCTCTTTTCTTTTATTTTATTACTACTTCTTCTATTAATCCTTCTTCTTTTACTTCTTATTACTATAATAATTAAGACCTATATTATAATTAGTAAGAGAATAATAAATAAATAAAGAAAGACTTATATAAGGTATACTTAATATTCTTATTATAAAATAAATAGTTTATATAAGCTTTTAAATATTAAATATAATATTTATTATCCTTACTCTCCTTAATAAGTAAAATAATATAAGTAGTTTATAGATTATTTTTATAAATATATTTTAAATAAAGAGTAGTAGTAATATTACCCTACTTAAAGATAATTATTATTAATAGCTTAAATATATAACTTAATATAAGGCTCTAGTTATTATAGAAGAAGTCCTTATATAACTAAATAAATAAGAAAAGTTAAATAAGCTTATAATTATTAAAGATAGTTATATATATCTTTAATAATAAATTAGTTTTTACTAATATATTAATAACTTTAGGTAACTAATACTAGAGAAAAGAAAACTTATAATAAATAATAATTCTATAATTATTATAATTTATAATATATTAAGAATAATAAATAGCTAATAAAACCTTAAAAGTAGACTTATTACTATAAATAAAAAAAATAATATAATAATAATATAATCTTAAGTAATAAATATTTAAGAGTAAGTAGTAAAAAAAGTAATAAAAGTAAAGTATAAGTCCTTCTTAGAGAAGAACTTAAATAATAAAGGACTCTTATATAATATTATAAAGAATACTCTTATTATACTTAATAAAAAAAAGAAGAGAGAAATAAAAAAAAAGAAAAGAAAAAAAAGAAAAAGATTATTAATAATAAAATAAAAAAGATATATCTTATTATAAATAAAGAAATTAATAGATTATTTAATAATAGTAGCTATTAATTATATCCTTATAGCCTAGGACTAGCTGCCCCTATTAATTAACCTTAAATAGTAAAAGATTAAAGAGTAAGTCTTTATTTAAGTAATTTAATACTTCTATTAGTTAATTAGGGAGGTAATTATTACTATATATAGATCTAAAAGCTTTATAAATAAAGCTTAAGTTAAGTAAAAAAATATATAATATTATAAATAATATTATAATTACTCTCCTAAATTATATTAAATAGAATTATCTTAATATATATTAAGGTATTTACTAACTATAATATATATACTCTACTAAGATCCCCTAATTATAATAGAGTATTATATATAAGTTCTTACTTTAATCTAAGGATTAATAGATTCTATAAAGTTCTATTACTACTTAATTACTCTACTCTAATAGGCTAAGGGGAGATATATAAATACCTCCCCTTAAACCTATAGTAGTAATAAATAGAGATTTCTTAGAAAAAGACTTAGCTTTCAAATATCACACTAATCTAAATCTAAAAGTTTTTAGTTTAATACTTCTTAAGTACTTATCTAGTGCTTAAGGAGTACTTCTCTAGTACTTAAAAAGTACTTTTTATTATTAACTTATTAATATATTATTTATTATCTATATTAATAATAATTACCTAGATCTTATTTCTATAAATTAAATTAAATTTAATTAATTACCTAGTAACTTTATTTAAAAGAGAAAATACTTTTTTAAATAAGAGATAATAGTCTTCTACTATCTCTTAATTAATAAAAACCTAAAGAAGTATAATAACTATACTTAAATATTAGATAAGGACTTTTTAAGTAATTAGGAACTAATAATTAAATAGTTATTAAATACTTATCTTTTATATAAGATTATAGATAAGTTATAAAAATAACCTTATTTATATCTCTTTCTTATAGATATTTATATAATATATTAATATTAAATAAGGTTAAAATAGTAAGAAGTTCTATTTATTTTTTATAAATATAAATAATTATTATTTAGTTATTTTTAAAATACTTCTCTTAAATATATTTTTAAATTAAATAAAAAAAAATTAATAAGTACTTAAAGAGTAGCCTCTAAGTAGTGATTAAATATTAAGAGAATACTTAATATAAACTTATTCTTAAAAATAGCTTAATATTATAAAGATATATAATATTATTATAATACTACCCTACTAGATATATTAAAAGCTATTACTTTTAAATAATTATAGAGATTTAATTAAGATTTAAAAAAGATATATATATTTCTATAGATATAAAAGAATTATAGTAATAATAAAATAATTTAAGTTTAAGACTTTAAATAAATTATATTATAAGTAGTTAAAAGGTAGTTAATAAATAATTAAAAAGTTGTTAATAAATAATTAAGAATTATTAAAAAAATATATATCTAATAGTATAAAAGTATTTCTTACTTAATATTATATTAGGATTATTTATTTTTTTTATAATCCATATAATCCCCTTTATAATCATTTCTATTGGTTTATAAGGTGGTGAAGGAGGATATTAATAAATCCTATATAAAATAAAAAAAATATAAAGAACTTTAAGAATATTAATTAGTATAAATATAATAAAAGTAATATTATATTTAAGATATTAAAATTTTCTTAATCCTTAAATATAATTACTATCTAAAAAATTAAGTTAATAATTAAAAAATATTCTATAAGTATTTAGAGAGTATCTTTAAAGTACTCCTTAAGTACTTAAATAGTACTTACTATAAAACCTTTATTTTATTATTTATAGCTTAATTATTCTATACTCTTTTTAAGAAGGTATAATTAAATTATTAAATAGTCTCTTAAAAAACTAAAGATTAATATTATTATAGCCTTTAATAAAATTATAATAATATTTTTATAGAAATACTAATCTTCTATTTATATAATTAATAAATAATTAATACTTATTATTTATATTCTAAAAATATATATTAATAAATCACTTTTATTTTACTACTTTTTAAGTACTTACTAGATAATTAATAAGTATTTAATAAGTATTTATAATAATTAATCTTTTACTTATTATATAGTAATATCTTTAAAAAATTAGTTTATATAAAGGGAGTATCTTAAGATATAGGCTCTATTAAAAGAATAACCTCTTTAACTAATATAAACTAAATATATTAACTATATTTCTTTTTTTATAAAGTACTTAAATAATAATTATTAAGTACTTATAAAGTACTTAAACTACTTAACTATTACTTATCTATATATATTATGTTTTGTCACATTATTTTCTAGTAATTTAATATATTATTATATATATTAAATTTCTGACTAGGTTTCTATAGTGTAGGGTTTAAAGACTTGGTTTTAAGTATTTATAAACTAAAATACTAGAATAAGTCTATAATCATTTATAAACTAGGCAATTTAAAAAAGAATAGTTAATCTTTTTTACCCCTTATTTATTAGCTTAATAGTATTAAATCTAATTTATAATTAATATTTTCATATTTAATAAATATTTCTTAGGTACTTATTAAGTACTTATTAAGTACTTAAGAAGATATTTTATTTTATCTCTTAAATAAGTTATTCTACTTCTTCTTAAGATTTATCCTTAATTAATATTATATAAATATATCCTAATAAATTACTTCTTAAATATTCTAGAAGGTCTTAAGTATATTCTAGATATAATATCTTAAGAGAATTTACTTTTATATTAGTTAATATAATTTAAGCTATAGGTTTAGGTTCTTAAATAAATAATTAATAAGTAGTTATTAAGTACTTATTAAGTACTTATAAAATATTTAGTATATTTTATAAATAATCTATTTTATATTTTATATTCTTAAATAAGAGAAATATTATCTTTAATAATATTAAAGATATTTATCTAGGCATGGTGTTCTATCTTTAAAATTATAAAATAATAAAGAAGTAGTTAAGGGGTAGTTAGAAAGTAGTTAAGAAGTATTTAGTCTTTTTTATTATTATTATAATAAATTAAAAAGGAATTAAGAAGGAAATTAAATTTCACCTGAAAAGTATAGGTATTTAAATATTGAGATGCCCTGCCCCGTTGCCAAGGCGTTCCCAATTAGGTTAGAGGGGCGCCGCACTAATTTCAGAGGGCACCTGACCTGTATACTCGTCCTTCACCAGCTCAGCTAATTTCATGCAGATGAAACCACGCTCCTGGGTTCAATATCGCTGTGGCCCCTAGTAATATGATCTCATTAATCTTCTAAAACCTTCCACCAGGAGAACCATCTCCTAGTTGAAGAAAAGACGCTTATTGTAAGTAAATAAGCTGTATAATGTGGCTCTAGACCCTCCTTTACTGCTACAGTGCTTCTTTATTGCAATGAACATGAGAGCAAAGCCCGAATGAGAACCTACCATTAGACCCCTGAATCTGAGCCCTACAGAGATTATACATCCCACTTGAAGCTGAAGCAGTCTAAACTAGAACTAAAAAGTCATCAAGTATACCGTCTTACCAAGGCCAGCGAGATAACAGTGGACTTGACTATAGTGAGTACTCGACTTGATCAGCCTAGACATCTAGATAATAATATAAATATAGAACACAACTGTGCCTGCTCTATGAGAAGTTTAATATAGTGTAGAAGATCTTTATGAAGGGATATAGATAGGCAATATCTTCAAAATACTATCTAATACATATCAAGCCAGGTATTCCATTCTATAACTGGAAGAGAACCCCCTTGTTAATAAACTCTATATCATCTCCCCCGCGGCCTTATACTTCTCTCCTCCCCTGTTTTGCCTGCCCTCGCCTGCCTGCTATTCACCTCTAATATTCTGAATCGGTAGATTGAATTATAAATTAATAGGAAAAGAACGATAGAATATCATGATATAGAAGAAGCAAAACGATATTTTATATTGCCTAGCTCACTACTTGAGAAGCTATCAAGTACTGTAGAATATATTGATCGGCATGTTGCTCGGCTCTGCACAACTTTACTGCTCAGCAGCCCGGGAAGGATATTTCCATCTCATCATCTCACTGCAATGTGGGCTCCGGTCTGCGCTCTGTAGGCCGACTGGGTGGTGTACAGTAGACAGTTGTTTCTCGCTTGCGGTAACACAGTAGCCACCTTGCAAGTTGCCTGCGCTGCACATGCATCAACACACTCCTTCAGGCTAGGAACTGTCAGGCCAGGCCTGGTAATGAGTCCGGTGCCGCCAGCTATGACAAGGAAGTATCGAGTTAGCCAATTGGCACTGATGTAGATTCCGAACGAACTTACCCATATTACAGTTGACACTCCACAAAGACCCTGCTTGAGACTGGCCAGTATAAGCAGCATTTCCAGTCTGCCCTCGACCTGTCGTTGATATTAGCTCGCTGTGATTGCGACCATGCAGTGAGGAAACAGGGAGGAGACCTACAGTCTGGCACTGAACCACCGCCGGTAACCGGTGGAGTGGTGCTGCCTCCTGCCCGACAAGTATCACGTTCGGCCTTGAATTGATCACGCTCGGTCTTATATTGATCTCTGGCAGTTTCACAGGCCTGGAGCTGGGTCCGGCAATCGTCTCGCTCCTGACAACATGGAGAGGTAGGAGTGACCACCTTTTCAAAGAAGATGGTATTCGCCTGGGGCACGGGAGGACCGCTGTTTGCAACCACACATTTTCCGCCTCTTGTCCAGGAGACTCCGGCAAGAGCGCTGTTACCTGCCGCGCGCGAAGCACAGTCAGCCGGAGTGTTCACTCCAGAAGTCATCCCAGCGTTGTCTCCGTTCGATGCCCGCATGTTGCAGTGGTATGTGTACTGTGCACCACCCAGGGTGGTGGTGCCTGTGGTTTGGCCGGCACCACACAGGCTATCGTATTCCTGCTGGGGCGTCGTTTGGCCAGCCACCAGCAGAGGCAACAGGGGGAGCAGGACAGAGACCCTCATCTTTGAAAATGAGCAGATGATCGTGACAATGGAGAGTGAAACAATGGGATTGTGAGGAGCAGAGAAGAATAAGGGCCAGGTGGAGGAATTCATACTCTTATATCTCATTTGGCTGAGAGATCAGCTACTCGGCCGCTGCATGCTCCTCCCAGGGTTACATCCTCCAGCCGATCACTTTGAGGGTGTCTTCCCAGATGATCAATTGATATTTTCGCTTGATACATATTACTCTGTATCCACCCCCAGTTACACTGCATGAGTACGAGAGAGACATTTGTTTTTCACATGTGGATTTCAAGTTACACCGAAGCAATAGTATAGTGAATTGCTTCTTATGCTAGGAGATCATAATAGACTTTTATTTTGTACCACCTGGTTACATAGCTGGAATGTTGTTTCGAGCTCTACTGGAAGACCGGGGGAAATGTATGCCCCGTCACTTGTCCAAGAGGATAAAGTTGAGTTTGATATATTCCTAAATACCACTAGATTGAAGTGACAGCAATTACAGTTGGATATTGAGTATATTCTGAGACGCCTGTGGAGTTTCTATATCGACTGTCCTCGAAAGTCGCCGTTGGGAAACACCCAACTCCAGATATTCAGCCCGATCTTCGTCCCTTCCAGCACGACAAGCCCGGCATGGACCATCTCTTCATACGCCTTGCCGTCTGGGGCAACGTTCTGCCAGAACAGCGCATTGCCAGCAATCGGTTTGAACACCGTCCCATTCTCCGCAGCCTCACAGTCAAGAAAAGCGCACAGGGCCGGGTCCTCCCACCGGGGAATCATGGGGAAATGGGTGCCGCCCCCGGTGCAGTTGCCGTCCAGCCAGACATTAAAGGTCGACATGCGGTTGGGGAGAGAGTCGCCGAATCCGTCATGATGGTGAACAAAGTATCCGTCCTTTTGGTATCGTTGGACCGAAAGAGGCTCAAGGGCCATGTTTGTCCACTGCTGCAGTGACTGCGCACGTCTTTCAATGCATTTGACGGTCGAGTCGCGCGGCAATATAGCCGTTTCACTACGCCGGTATCCCCCTTCTGCTGTCGCTGTATCGGTCTCGGTGTTGTACACCATGGCAGGAGTGTAGTATGGGTTGCTGTGGTTTGGTGATTTAGTAGACTGTACTTGCGTGAAAAGACCATTATCCATGAGCCTACCTGATCGCCATTACATGCTGTCTTTCCTCCTCACTCAGGAAAGATTCGATATAGATCATCCGCGGACTCTCGGCGATAAGGTATGCCTGGAAATCATGCTCAGGACACTCAATCGACTGATCGGGCTGCACAAACTCCAGGAAGTTGGCTGGATGTTGAGGAGACAAAGTGCTGTCTGGGGTGTGCGTTTGGACTGATGCGCTGGTTGCAACGGCGGGAATCTTCTCTCCTAGGGAGAAGAATTGGTTCCCATCGCCGAGGGAAATCCCATGGATAATCAAACCCGAGCCTAGCGACGTTGAGACGTTGAGAAACAACGGGAGGATGCCTTGGGCTTGGATGATGGAAGACATTGAACGTGATAGCCCTTCGGGGTGTACGATATGGTAGAGGCCAGAAAGCTGAAGAGACACACGAAAGAACAGAACAGAATAGAAGATTGCACAGTGTTGACTCTTTCCAACGCCGTCGAGAAACAGCGAGAGGCCCTTCACCCCAACATTTTGGATCTGTCGAAGGACGTCTCAGGCCTGCATATGCTTGGCAAATGATGCATAGGCCGATACCACGATAGATTAGCTGGTGTAACAATATGTCAGTTGAGTGCATGGTGGGGAAGCTAGAGAGCTGGGACCATTTTTATACAGGGATGGCTTGGCTTATTCATTGATTTCTATCTAGTTAGCCATGTCTCAAGCACACAGGTAGTCATGCTGCAGAAATCCCACATACCTAGATACATCAAGAGTACAGCATATGCGGGATACATAGTGTTCCTGGGTGTCAGAAGCTTCTTGTCATATACGGTATCACAACAAGGTAATTTAGTACAGTGGTACAGGAATAGTGCATACGTTACAGATACCAGACACTGCCTGGGTCCTTAGGCCGTCGATTCCAAGTAATTCAGTCAAGAGAATAGCCAGATATGTAATGAGGCGCTGACACTTGCCATGGAGTAACTATTCTACATCACTTAGCCAAGTTTATGGTAAAAAAAAAGTAATGTATAAACCAGGCATATTTTTCAACTACTGTAGATAGTCATCGAAAATAGGGTCTTGCCATTCATTGTGCCAATTCTTAAACTACCCATCCTTCCAAGTAAACCAAAAAAGCAGATTAACATAACAAATCAAGATAAACACTGATCCTGAACCAATTCAACCAAGCAGCCAAAAGAAACCTCTCTTTATCTTGTATTGCGTGCTCCCTTCATAGACAGCCTTGGAACGCCCCATTGGAATCAAAGGCTGGGAATAATCCACCGGCCGAGCTACAAGAGGCAAAGTTCGGATTGTTGTTGTAGACTGCGCATGGTGTACTTCCGCTGCCACCGCTAGAAGGGACGGGGATCTTTGTAAGTGGTATCCATGGCATTCGGAAGAAAAAGGCGGAAGCTCCAGGGGTTAGGGCGACAACCGCCAGTGAGACTGCTGCAAGACGCATTTTGGAGGATTGAAAAGTCTTTTGAAGATATATCAGTCTGAATGTGTTGGCCAAAGATAGATAAGAGAGAATATACCTTTGGGAGAAATCAAGGCGAAGAAACGTTTCCTTGCTGCTGATCAAGGAGAATGAAGAGACTCTTTGGGATGGAAGTCACAAAGGATTATGGATTGAAAGTAGGACCTTGTCTTGAGATCAACTCGCCTACTTCAAAGCTATTCCCACTGCAAGGCCAGCTGATTTATAGTGATGGTACCCCGTATGGTTTCTGGTATTGTCATGGATTGGGATGTATTGCAGTATGTATGTATGGAACAGCAAATAAAATACCACAACAAGTGTATGCCCTGCATCTGCTGGTTACATGACTATCTTCTTTTCCCTTTAGGGCCCAGTCCCTCTATTGAATTGCATTCTCGGCAGGACCTTTCCCGTGACACAGCTTTTGTTGAGAATCCAATCAATGCATCTCATGACTCAATAGAAGGGAAATATAGTTTGTAAGCAGCAGCAGCAGCAGCGTCTTAGGGATGTATCCACAAGGACAGGGGGTGGAGATGGATTCTTGGCTGGAAAACGTCAAGTATGGGATGCAATTCGGTATAGCAACGTATGGTTAGGTTTCACAATGGAGCTGAGGATCTGCGTCTCCGAACTGTGCTATTCAGAGTAGACGGAAATAGACTGAAGGCACTGCAACGTAGAGGATGATTGAATGATGCAAGCCAACATCTCCACCTTTTTGGATCACTGGCAAGGCAAGGTCTTCTTCAGGCGATGTTTCTCTTGTTCTATTGGAACCACCTACGGCAGAATTTATAACTGTCATTTCCCGACTACAAACCATTTTCAGGCTTCCCTCTCTCATCTATACATGCCGACTGCTATCTTTTTTCTCATAAGTTTTAACCAAAACCTTCTTCTTCGGTTGTCATCATGAAAGCATGGACACCCTTCGGAAGGGCCATTCTGGTTCTTGGTGTCTTGATGCTGCTGGCAATGATGGTAGCTGCACAGGACTCGGGGGACTTTGGTGACGATGATTCTGGGGACTTTGGCGACGATGATACTGGAGACTTTGATGATGATGACTCCGGCGACTTTGATGACGATGATTCTGGCGATTTCGAGGATGATGACTCCGGGGACTTTGATGGCGGCAGTACTTGTCCTGCCGTGCGTGAGACTGTCCAAAATATGTCCCCTACAGCAGGCAAACAATATGATTGTGCTGCAAGTAAGCGAGATCTCTCTATTGAACTTTCATCCCCTCATTGATAATGACTAAATTCTCCCCCACATAGACAATGGACATCTCTATGAAGCATCTGATGGTCACCACTTCTACATCCAATGCTGTACTGAGGTCCCAACTGGTCCTATCTTCGGTCTCTGGGCAGATAACTTTGGAGCATGTATGGATGCCTGTGCCCAGGAGCCCTCTGGTCGATGCAGAAGGTTGGCTCTCCCTCCATCTCCCTTTCCATTGCCCTTCCACAAGACGCGTGCCCTAATCAGAGATGGTGAACATACAGTGTTGGGTTTGACTCTAACCCCGCTCCTGGAGATACTGATACCTGCATCTTCTTCGGAACGGGAGACTTCTTGACCATTGACCATTCGAAATATCACTATGCCTTCCTTGTTGACCCTCCGACTGCCGATCACCCGGATGATGAGATCAAGCTCTGTTCAACGGAATGTCCTGGATCTAACAACCAGGTGTATAACACACCTTACGGCGAGGTATGGTTTATTCCATAGAAACCTGAAATTTGAATATGGCTGATCTAACCCTCTTTTTCATGATAGAGTTTCCGCATGGTCTGCGGCAAACGACATGGCACCGAGGCTGTCATGGAACAGGTTGACTCTTGGGAACAGTGTATGGACTACTGCGGCAAGCTTGTGCAGTGCCGTAGTGTTGACTACCATCGCCGTACCAAACGCTGCTATCTGGGTGATCACGGTGGTGAGCCCACTATTGACGCTCCAGGGTTCAGCAGTGCCTACTCTATGGGCTGTGCTGGAGCCTGTTGTGACTATCCAAAGCCAGAATCTCCAGGTCCGTCTGAACCTGAAACTCCTCCACCTCCTCCACCTCCGCCCATCGTTTTGCCGCTGCCACCGGGACAGCCATGTCCGCAACTGCACAACACCAAGCTGACAGTCAACTCCCAGGAGTGGCAAATTAAGTGTTCCTATGTTGATGGGTGGGTAAATGGGGGCTCCAGGCATGATTTGCCTACAGCCAGCAGTATGGAAGAGTGTATCCAGCACTGTCAAAACCACGCCCCTTGTGTATGGTCTGAGTTCCGCCCAAGTGATGGTCTCTGTGGCGGATACACAAAGGATTATTCCCAGGCGCAGATCATCACTGACAATGTAGCCCAAGGACATTTCAACTTGATCCCTGCCTGATGACCAAATTTCATGATGCTCAATCGGGAATTTGTGAAGCAGTCAGCATTTAGTGGGTGTCGTTGAATCTCCATCTTCTATTTCCTTTTTAGCTTATCACTCTATATCGAAGATCAGTTGTCTCTATATACTCTCTCTCTAGTCTAAATTGAATGTCGCAGAATCTGTTATTGTTTACGAAATCCTCTTCCTATCTTTTGGATTCATTTTTATATATAATCTATTCCTTGATATTTGAAACACTTTTAAGGAGTAACATTCTGGGCATCAGTCCACTACATAGTATCTATTGTTTCCCATTCCTCGGCAGGCTTCTCCTCTCCAAAATGTGTCATATATCCTCTAGTTTCAATCAATTGCTCCACATGGTCTTCCAAAAGATAACAGCTTCAATAAAGCACCACACATTCAATAAGATGCAATATCTCACCTTGCGGAGTAAAGAATAGAGTTCTGCATCTTGTGCTACACTACGTACCACAGCGGTCTGTCTTAGTTCAAGGTCCTATCTCGGCCACTATCTACCGCTACGGCAGCAGAATTCTATTTGCTGATGCATGCTTCAACTAGTCTGGTGAGGTGCATTTTTTTCAGAACATTGGGCTCAGTAAGAATGAGACTATTTAATAGATCCTGGTGTAGATTGGTCATTGAGACAGTCGCTTTGCAGTGATTGTGGAGGGATCCTTGCTGAACCCTTGAGACGTATAGTTGGATGGTATACGGAGTACCTATCTAGATGCAGGACAGGTAATACCTGGTCATTACATCTATTGATATTACATACAGGTAAGGTATCCTGTCTCTATTACCATACTATACCAGTACCGATATGCAAGGTTGTCGAAGACATTCAAGACCATCAGACCGCTTTATCCCGCCCTCCTTGTGCTGACTCAAAGCCACATTCCAGTATGGAGTAATTTGAAGTTATAGTCATGTAATCTCATTGACTAGCTGTAAACTCCAACTGTATCCCGTCCTGCATGTGTCACCTAAGGAAATCGGCTTCCCCAGCCTGCCACTTCCTCTACATATGACCTCCCACATTCCAGAAATGCGTGGACTCTTCAGATCTTTGATAGATTGACTACATGCATGCTGTTGTGCAACTGTTTTCTAACCCCCCCCTCAAGTGGAGGATGCAGGCTTGGAGTTATCCACTTATGAGCGATCATTTCAGCTAGCCGCCTATTTTCAAACATCCCTATCCAAGGTCCCGGTTGCCGATGGCTGTCTGTGTCTATGGCATGTACTCCCCGCAGATCGGCAGTGGATTGCAGCAAGGCTATTGATCCTCACAGGAAGTGTCTCCCAGCACTCAGGAATTCATGACATATTGACTGATTTTACTGTGGTACAAAGCCCAAACTGGCGATCTAACCGGGACTCGAAAATGGAAAAAGCAAATCTAGCTGTCAATACAGCTCAATCAGTTGTGGGACTTTGCTTGCAGATGACTCAAATATGCACAGGTTCATAGTTGACTGCATCACAGTGGCAGCTTGCGACGTAAACGACGATCCCAACTAACCCCTCCTGTGCATGCCCAATCCCGGTCACCGGTTCTTCATCGATATCATCCAGCTTCCTCTAGGGTAGCCAATTCTGCATTATTCTTACTATTCCTTTGCTTAGTTTTCGTTCAAATACGGGGCGGACTCCGCAGCTCTGCCTCGATTTCCTTTTCCTACATCCCTGCTCTGAAGAAAGCCTCAGTACAATGGCGCCCAAGTCAGCTCTTCTGTTGTTGCCTTTCGTATTTAACTTGGTCCACGGCCAGAGTCGCTGTGTCAGCCCCCTCTTTACAGAAGAGCCTGACATCAAAGACGTTGTTACCAACCCATCCTGCCCAGGCGGTTCGTATTAGCAGGACATATTTTCCCCCGCTAGAATCGGTTGCTAATTCAAAAACTTGCTTGTCTCTTCAGATTATGGAAAGCTTGTCCAAGCCGATGATGGAGGCTTCTTCCGCTTACAATGCTGCACGCACCAACCGAGCGGCATCTCCAGCGTTGGAAGTGCAAGCAACGTTGCCTCTTATAACGAATGCTTGAGTCTCTGCCTAAGCGACGCATACCCACTTTGCGATAGGTGAGAAGCCCTGAATTTAAAATTTTATGCAACAGAGAAAGAAAACCTGAAAAAGAGAGTGAGAAGTTTCTTTTGTGAGCTTTTGTTGACATCTGGATTTCATCTCCTTAGTGTCACGTATGACATCCATAAAAATTGTGGGATGTACCAAAATGGAGGATTCTCCACCGTTCCATGTGGTAATACTGAGCATGACTGGCTCTACTACATTGATCCCCCCCCTCAACCGGCTCCCAATGACCAGACCGTCTTGTGTTCGACCGAGTGTCCTACGGCACATGGGCAAAAATATGTCTCTGAATTTGGCGAGGTATGCTCCCTTTCTTGTTGATTTTGAGATAAGAGCGTATAGAGCTGACCCTCTGGCTGCTTTTCTAGCTCTTCCATATGGAGTGTGGCAAACGACACGGCACTGTTTCCTTCCGTGAAGACACCCAACCTACTTACCGGGATTGTATTGACAGCTGTGCTACCATCCCCAAGTGTGCCAGCGTGGATTACTCGAACCGCACAAACACCTGCTACTATGGTACTCATTCTGGAGCTCCCCCGGTGATTGCGCCGGGTTATTACAGCGCATACTCGCTCGGATGCGCAGGGGCCTGTGACAAGGACGACGATGGCTGCTGCTGTGGGCAGAAAAAATGTCGGGGCCGAGGAGCTGGTGACAGTCATGATGAGCTTTAGATGGTTTGAATTTGATTCTTTCAAGTGTGGAGAGGGGGCTTACTAATGCTGATGGCTTGCTCATGCTGATGTTGCTTGGTTGTTTGAGATCCATAGTCAAAGCTACTTCTTTATACTACAGCTCATTAGGAATTGATCTAGATATAAAGAAAAGAAGTGACAGGTTCTCTTGAGCAAATTAGAAAACTCATTCTCTAGTTGTTAGTAGTCATCTTCTTATATAGTTGTATATGACCAGAACTCTTATAACACTATATCAATCATAATTCTACCTAATATTGATACCTTATTTTTCTTCACTAAGAAAGTTAATTAAATGCCTCTAGCCATATAATTAATCATTCTTTAGCCAGTTCTCGCACCTCTGCATGATATTAGTTGGTCTTGATGGCAAGGTAGAAGATTCTTCTATAGACGCTGCCTCAGCCAAAGTAGCAAAGAGTAAGAGACTTCCCACTGCAGCCACTAGGTATCCCCAGATATAGCCCGCTGACATCCTTTAGTAATCTTCAAGCTGCCAGCATTTCTTTTCCTTTTACACTGATTAAGAGGGACACATAAGTTAAATCAAACTATATTAATATCTTACTACTAGAGTGGTTCCTCAAGCTGATATTCTATTGATTAACCTAGATGATACTAGGCGTATGTAGCACCATAAACAATGCTTATATAGATTTATAGCCCAAGGCGCAACGCGCGGACCTGCATATCTTAATAGAAAGGTCTGGTTACATGCTAGGCTGGTGAAACAATCTTCTGCTAATCGCATTTTTATAGTTTGTCTTACCTCGATGTAACATACTAAATATTTCCTCCTAGGGTGGAAGATCAGTTATTCTATACTTTACATAAAGTGCTGTAATATGTATAGATCTTTAATTCTGGGGTTATCTAGCCATGTTAGGCTAGCACAGCTAAAAGTTCCCGGCCGTCAGAATATCATGGTCTTTTGCCTTTAGTGCAGCGGTCTGATGCATATACAAGCTCACCTATGATTAGTCTGTGACAGTGAGACAGATTGTGTATTGACATGAATGCTACCTATATAGTGAAGATACTAGGTATCTCACTTACTTGTGCCTGCAGTAGGCCTTTAGGTAGTCCTAGGGTGTCCTAAATTCCTGACATTGTGTATGGCCAAGACCAAAGGGGCATTCTAGATGCTTGAAAAGGCTAGGATTCCTGGATGCTGATTTAAGAGCTGGTATCACTTATATAGCTTAATTAGGCAACTGACGTTACAAATTGGTTGTATCAAGACTGCAGGGGACGCCGGATCCAGCAGGGATAATATGACTGTTTCATTATGCCCGATAAACTTGACTATTTTGTGCTGCCTTGAAAAAGTATTTAATACCCCAGAAAAGAACCATCACCTGCCCTTACTAACCGAATCCCATCAAAGAAATCTCAACCCCTGGTCAGAATACCAGATATCAGCTGTATTTGCCCTCTTATAGGCTCTGTTCATCTTCAAATCATTATGAAGTTCTGTTCTGTCCTTATTAACTTCCGTGCTGCAACTTCTGCGGCGGCATCCAGCTTAACCAAGATCTGCAAGGACCTAATCTTTAAGAATTAATCCTCCGGCAGCTCGCCCAGAGTCTCTAACTATATGCAGCTCACCACTAATATTGTCGGCAACGGTACGTGGTTTATGACTGACCCTAAGGTTCAGCGCCAGCTGGCCTAATATGGCACCTATGCGTTCGGCGCATGCATCACTGAAAACAGCGCAACATGGGTAGGTAATCAGGATATCATTGATATCATCCATGATTCCGTCAACCTGTTCCAGTGGAACGGGCTCGTCAGGGCCAAGGGGGGGGGTGACTTGTGGGAGTACTGATGTGGTCTGGGCTATTTATCACACTTGATCCTCCTAAACTTGGTCATGTTGGATTCTGGTCTTGGTTGATACTATGTAGTAGGTTAGTACTAGGGTTAGGGTTAGGGTTAAGCAACCTATCATACCTTCAGCTGTTGAAATACTCAATGCACCTTAACCCTACATCTCCTCTTTGCTTCACGACATCTAGTATACTATAGTATAGGGGCTACTAAGAGTCTTATTGAGTACCATCTCTATGTTACACACACTAGCTACACGTCACTGGGCGACATGCGACTAATAGGTATGGAGTCTCGCGCAGATTCCTGCACAGCCCATCTGCACGGAATCTTATTATACCTATATGTTTACTTCAAGACTATCTAGCTATTACTTATTAGTATCAAGTTTTCTCATTTCCTAAAGTGTTTTCAAGGTGAATTCTAATGTGATTAACTATTAGGAACTGGCATTGATACCTTTCTGCTGGATAATAATTCATCAATTAGTTAAACTCCTTTCTAAATACCTTTTCAATATCCATTTCATTAAGCCCAAGATACTAGTTAATTCCAAAATGAATTCCTTTGGGCTGGATTATGGAATTGTCAAGCTGCAAGCAGGGTTTTTGAGCAGACATGTTGGATAAGGTTGGCTCAAATTCTTAATGGTCGAATATGCCTTGTTTGGAGAAAATTTAGTCAACTACCTGAATACCCTTAACCTAGGTAAGTTACAAGCTAAAAATATCCAAAAGTTCGAAATTCAACTCAACATTAAGCCTCTGCCAGGTCCTGCCTGTCCTAATCGTGGATTCGAAGATTCGAGGGGCAATTTGAACAGACAATTCCTGTATTACATCCATTAAAAGGCTTACCTGTGGAACAAGTCTGCCGTGAGCAAAGGAGTATATACTATAGTAAACACTATAGTACGCAAGTATATAGAAGGATAATTATATGTTTTATTTTATTTACTATGTAAGACGGAGATGGCCGAACTCGACCGAATGCCCCGCCTGGCACAAGTGTCCAACTGTCAGGATCTGTAAGATTCTCCCCTTCGTCAATTTCCGATTTTCCAATATCTAAGCCTTCATATGCAATGTTAGGAAGTCCACTTTCTATAGAGTATCGGCGGAACAAGGGTTCAGAAGGGAATAAAGAGCTGCTGGGAGTATAGGAAGCCCTCATTAAGAAGAGTGTGAATCAAACTAACAGGAACAGGCAGAAAGAGAAAGGTCAAGTGCATCCCTCAGGATGACTCTATTTGTGCTGGCTATGAAGTAAGAAACACTTCCTGTCTTAGTCAGGAAAATATAGATGACCCTTCATCTGATACAAATATCTCTGCGTTAACTCAACGCATGGAAAGGGTTGAGTCTCTGCTGGAGTCTCTCATGGGTAGCATCAACCGAGGGGAATCCACGTCAACACAAGAGTCTCGACCTGTTTTTGCAACTCCTTCTCGATCCTCTCACTCTTTCACTTCCAAGATGAAGACTCTACGCCGGCAATTAGCTGGAATGTTGCCTTGTCAAGCGGTGGTGGATTATGAGCTTCACTCGGATGGAACTAACTTATATCCAAGGAACGCGTATCTGTCTACTCTGCTCGGCCTCCCATTCGCCACAGGCTCTACTGCTGTCCCTCTTGGCGATGCCTGGATGTCACCAGAAGACGTCCACCACAAGCATTTATATCACATCTCCGATTCTCGCTCGCAACCAGGAAGATCAGACGCATTCCTTCTCCACCACGCAACGAATCAGTGGACAGCTCGAGTCCCTCGCCCAGCAGATGTTGCCATCTTGGCGGAAGATCCCTGCCACCATTCCCAACACTCGCACCAGGGAAGCCTCTGCCGTATTCGAACGGGTGATATGCCAGATCTGGCATTTCGAACTGGCCACGCTGCTGCGTCTTTCCTTTATGCTTCGAGCGGCCAGTGATGCTCGATACAAGCACTCGCGCATCTCCTGCTTTGCTGCAAGTCGGGAGTTGATCAAACGGTGGATGGCTATCCGGGCGAGCAGTGATATCCCGCTGCTCTTCTCCCAGCTTCTTGAATTCCAGGCCTTCACTGCCGCCACCACTCTCCTGTTAGGGGTTTTAGGGGCCCCTAGAATCACAGTCCATGATGCTTTACAGGACCACTGCCAGCTTGTAGAAGCGGTGGTTGAGAGATTCGCTGCGCTCAAGCAGCAGGGAACTGCTCAGAGCATTACCGTCATCCGCACGCTGAAAAGGTTTCTCCATGGAAATGTATCTGAAAGACTACGGTTGGAGATTCCTTACTTTGGAGTCATTAGCATTGCTCGCAATAGTGGCAACGTCCTACCAGAGCTCTTCATTGCTCCCCATGAATGAAGCGAATAGTATAGACAGGGTACTGCACTTTTCCAGTGGTCAACAGCCCGAAAGCCAGCATGACCTTGAATGGGTTTTTGATGAAAGCGAGATGATCTTCTTTAATAGTCTGGTTGAGACGGATCTTCTCGGACATTGAATGTGCTGAATTTTGTGTTCGGCCGAAGCTGTTCAGACAACCCGGACGAAGTGTAGTATAAATTGTCACTAAATCTCTCGATACTGAAAATCCATTCTCAAGCATCTTTTCAACCTAATCCTTCCATAACTATAAAGAATATCCATTATCAACTCAACATGGCCAAACATAACAGTGTGAGTATTGCCGCCGCCGCTTCGGCTCACATCCTCGCATACATCACGGAGCTCACCTCCCCCCTCTTCCAAACGGCGAGACAGTGCAATCATCTGGCTGTTTTTGAGAGTGGAGGGGCTGGAAATCTCAAATGTATATTTCTTCAGACGGATGGAGGACGGGACGCAGGGGTTCGAGGGTGGTATTTTTGACGGCGAGAGCTGGTTGTTGAAGCAGCTGTCTGGAGTATAGTCGTAGCTTTCTCATCTCTACTGTGGCTTAGGGATTGCTTAGTATATCCGTATATCGAGTACCAGTGTGCTCTAGACATAAATAGCTATAGAATAAGACACGCGAGAATATAATCAGCTATATAGCATCATACACCTTTAGCCTCATCTTCTTAGCCGATATCCGTGGTCGGCAAATAAAACGGTTCAATCGCTGTGAGGACATGGAAGATGTAAGACCTGGCCAGACGGGTGTATATGTTCTTTTCCTGACATGTCCGGCCACATTAAATACTATAAAGTAGTAGTATGTAATACTCCATACTTCGACTACCGTATGGGTACAACTGAACCCCACGCTAATCCCCGCATCTCCATATCCACCCTACGACTACCCCGGAGGCGGGGGCGGAAGTGCTGAAGCGGCTTCTTCAAATAGTCACATTCATAATAGACTTGTGATCTCTGTCTACCATTTAGCTACCATTTAGTTGTCTGTCACCGTCAGATAGACAAGTATACTCTGTACCCCTACTTCATATCTATAAATTATGACAGATAGTTTAAAAGAGCTTAATGTGAGATACTAAGTAGAGACAGTCTAGTAGTTTAAATGTCTAGCCTGAATACATGCATCATAAATATCACATGAAGGTTTCCGCACAAAAGAGCTCCGAAATTAGGTCATGAAATTGTCGCGAGAGGTTATCTCGGAAGAAAGAAAGAAAGAAAGATTAGTTGAGAATGGCAAGGAGGACGGCGAGAATGCCAACCACCGATCCAACCGAGCGGGTGTTCACTGAGGCAGCGCCCGTGTAGGCCGGGGTAGACGCCGTGCTGGTCGACGAGGCCACCGCGGTCTTGAGGCCGCTGCTCTGCGCCCAGGGGTGGGCAGAGGAAGAGGCAGTGCTGTTCTTCCCATACGCACCCACGCCTTGAGGGATGCCGGTGGGGATGACGATCGGGACCCGGGTCTGGGTCATGGTCACCGTGCTGATGTATCCCGTGCAGCTGCCGCCATGGGGGCACGACTCAACGGAGATGGTCGTGGTGTAGACAGAGCCAGCACCGGAGCCGGAGCCGGAGCCGGAGCTTGAGCCGGAAGATCCAGAGCCGGAGCTTGAGCCAGAGCCGGAGCTTGAGCCAGAGCCGGAGCCGGAGCTAGAGCCAGAGCTTGAGCCGGAGCTTGAGCCGGAAGAGCTAGAGCCAGAGCCGGAGCCAGAGCCGGAGCTTGAGCCGGAGCTTGAGCCGGAAGAGCTAGAGCCAGAGCCGGAGCCCTCACCAACAGCGCTGACACCCTCAGGACCACCGGTTGGGGAGACCTTGTAGACGGTGGTAGCGACAATCAGGGTCTCGGTGGTGGGATGGGCACCGTGGTCGGCAGTGCGGGTGGAGTAGAGGGTCTCGGTGGTCCAGGAGGCGTGATCGCCAGTCGTCTCAGCGGTAACGGGGTACACCGTGGTTCCGGCGACAAGAGTCTCGGTGGAGGCATAGGTGGTCTTCTCCGTGGCCGGGCAGTCGGTGACGAAAGACGGGCAGGCCGTGATGGTGGTGGTGCGGGTGGTCAGCACCGTTGAGGTGGTGTATCCGTTGTTCTCCAGGGCAGTCGGGCGGCCGGTCTCGGTCAAGGGGCACACGGTGGTCGAGACAGCGATGGTCTCGGTGGTCAGATAGGTCGAGCGCTCTCTGGCAGGGCAGTCGGTCACAAAGGAGGGACAGGCCGTCACGGTGGCGGTGCGGGTGGTGAAGACGGTGGAGGTGGTGTATCCATTGTTGTCCAGAGCAGTCGGGCGGCCGGTCTCGGTGAGCGGGCAGACGGTGGTGGACACCACAAAGGTCTCGGTGGTCAGGTAGGTCGAACGCTCGCGCGCCGGGCAGTCAGGGACACTCGACGGGCAGGCCGTGATGGTCGCCGTGCGGGTGGACAGGATGGTCGAGGTGGTTGAGCCCAGGGTGTGTCCGCCGTTTCCGGGCTGTCCGGCACCGCCAGTATGAGTAGCCTGGCCAGCACCAGTATGAGTAGCCTGGCCAGCACCAGTATGAGTAGCCTGACCAGCACCAGTGTGAGTAGCCTCACCAGCACCACCAGTCTGGGTAGTCTGACCCGCACCCTCTCCTGAGCTGGCAGTGTATCTGCCCGGGCGGCACGAGGCGGAGTGACGGGAAAAGGTGGTGGAAGGAGTGGGAGAGCCGGAGGGAAGACGGCTGGACGAGGGGAGAGCCCAGGGCACCGAGGAAGGACGGATGGACGAGGAAGGACGAATGGACGAGGAAGAAACGTGGACAGATGAGGGGATCACCCGGGACGAGGGGTTGAAAGGAAGGGACGACACCGGAGTGGAAGAGACGGCGGCCGATGAGGGACGGCAGGGCTTACGGCTGCGGCTATGAGGCCTGTACGTCCAGGGACGGGAGGTATAGGCCGAGGAAGCAGCCGAAACGGCAATGGAAGTGAACGAGGGAGTGGAAACAGGAGTAGAAGATGAAGATGAAGATGAAGATGAAGATGAAGTGGTTGTATCACCAGATCCCGGCAGGGCAATGGTCGCGGCAAAGACGGACTGGATTAAAAGAAAGGCAAAGAGCCATCCTCGCAGCAGAGAGCCGATCATGACGATGTGGATTATTAGGTATTATTATTGTAATGAATGAAAGACCAGGTTAAGGACAATAATGACAACACAACCGACCCCAATGAGATTGGAAAAAAGAGTGACAGATGATGGTGGTGAACAACAGGCAGGGAAAGAGATCAGGGCAGATCAATTATAGTTTTCTCATCATTCAGGGTATTTTTAGTGTCTCGGTAAGATAGGTAAGAATTCTCGAAATTATGGGGCTTTCATTTATAATCCCTGCTGCTAGTCCCTGTTCCTGATCGTGGGTAGCCAATCGCTTACTATGATCGAATGTCGTGGTTCATCAGCAGTTGAGGCTATCAATTGATTGTGGTGATAATAGCCGACAGGATCGAATGAAAAGGGGCGGAATCTCTGTCTGCCATTCCTGTAGAGATGATTATAAGTAAAAGTGTAAGCATGTTAAAGAGAGAGACCTAATTCTTAGGAATCCTACAACCAGAGTCAAAGTATCTTCCTTTGACTCTGGTAGGATTCCTGCTGGTCAAGCAGTGCTCCCCTCTTCCCAGCAGCAGCTTATGTTCCCACAAAGGTCCCTGCTTTACGAGGCTTGCTGACATCAGTCGCTTCTATCCATATAATAAATATGAACCCTGTAGTGATGTATAGATTCTCTAGGATACTGTGCCTGGGACTCTGATAGTATAATATTTCCTGACTATAAGATAGACACCATCACTTTCACTGCTGGCACCTTCTTAACAACCTTAACCAAGTATGATGTAGTGACCACCACCACTACCTTAGCAGTCTATAATAATTATAGGTAAAGAGATATTATAGTTACTAGCATAGTTGCCACTGCAGCTGTGTTTAAACTTATTATAGATACTTTAACTAGGACATCACCCGAAAGTGCTCTGCAGAAGAGGATGAAGATATATATTCTCTTAATAATTAATAATAAGTATGCCACTGCTGTCATATATATAAGCTCACTCTATAATAGCTACTTTGACTATTACTGCTACACCTGCCATAGTCACTGCAGCCACTCCTATAGTTATAAGTATAAATACTATCAAATTACCAGCCCTCTATAGTGGTATCTGATGATATATTGATAGCACAACCTTATCCCTTATTGAGACCACCACCGTGGCCACACTACTATAGTAGTAATATTGATCATCACTAGTGCTGAAGCTACTACCCTGGTACTCACTGCTTTAATGTTGACACCACCTCCTGCACCCCCAGTCCAACTATCGTTCTGCTTCTATCACTAGCTCTCTGAAGGGCTAGGAGTGTCCAACGGTCTCTGGGTATGAAATTAATTCTTACTACAGGTGATAATTAGTAATATAGCAATATATAGACTTCATATTACAGTGTTGTATGAGTCAATAATGCAATCCTAGGTAGAGGAAGCTGTGTGAGTTGCTTTTATCATAACTCTTGATAAAGCAAGTAACCATATCCTGAATAATTAATTATATATTTATTCTCAAAGGAGGAACATCAGGCACTAAGGGCTGTGGCATCATTCATATTGGGAGGAGCAATCTGGGTTTTAATCATCAGTATATGATAGCACCTCAAGATACAGATACTTGAACCATTCCACCCACTGAGCCTCGGTCCATTGGCTGGTCACCGTCAGGTCCTTCGACCCGTTTACAAAGACGGTAAGCTAGATATTGGGTATCATCATATACTTAGTATATACTTGGGGGAAGGTATACTCACACTGACCATACATCATTCTGATATGCCGGATCTGAGTAATACTGGCGTCCCCCTATAGCGGAACTTATTCATCAGCAGCGTATCTCGCATAATTTGCACCCCTCCCTTTCTTACTCATGACAGATACCGCATTTTTCCATCATTCCCCCTCGATAATGCCCAGCCGCTCCTTGACCGAGTTGAGACTCTCATCCTGGACCTGCGAATTGTAGAATTCATGCTGCCGCTCCGTGTTCTCGCGCACAGCATTGAACCACAGCCTTAGGTTTAATAGTTGTCGTGCAGAACGCTTTGCCGAACCCGAGTAAGTGCTCTGCCACATAGCAGCCCTACAGGTGCCAGGCGAACACTAGCTGTACCTTGCCGAAGTATTTGCCTCCCTCCAAAAACTCAGGGACAATCACATTCGCTAGGCTGCGCAGCGCCATGCCGGGCGGATCATCCCCAGGTAGATGGTTGTCGCGCCTTCACCCAGGATGGTATACTGCAGACGAGGGAGGGCATCGTGATAATGGTTAGTCACAGATCCAGTGATCTTGGCTACACGCTCTCTACTCTTCACCATCCTTCTTTCTTCTCTGGCAGGGTCTTTTCTCATCTTATAAACCATACCCTTGCAGTGTGGGGGACCCCAGATACTCCTCCGTACCTCCGCCCTGGGGCCCGAGCATGGGCGGAAACTAACCTAAAGGGGAAATGTCGCCAAATTATCGTACATCTTTCTAGAGATGTTGAACTTTGTATGTGCATACTATGAGAGACTATACTTAAGAGATATATATAAGTAAAGGATAAGTAGCTAAACTCTTATAGTTGAATGTTTACTTGCTTGAGTCTAGAGTATACATTTGTTTATACTCTACATTCATTTCATAAGTAGCTAATTTCTCTTAGTGATAGCATTAAACTGACAAAAGTATCTCATTCTGGCTTTGTCTGTATGGGGTTGAAACATTAGCTTAGAAGCTAAATAGTTATATATTTTTAAAGGTGCTGTCCTGAGAAGCCTTACCTTACCTCACTGTCACCTCTCAACAGACCTGGCGAAGTGTCAATGTCATGAGACCACCAATATACAAGTATTGGGGAGTATAGCAATTATCTAGGCGCTTGCATATTAATGGGTTTCTGGGATGTAAAAGTCTTCTCCAGCTAGCACGCTTCTAGATAGAATTAGCTTTAAAGGCACCTCTGATTTTTTCCTATTTTTACTTATTACTCTAAGTCTATAGACTTGCTTTTGACGGTCTACAGAAAACAGGCAGTGTCAACTTTATTATCTTACCACAGGTTCAACGTCTACAAGGGATACTATCTCTGTATTAGCTTCTATTGTCAGCTGAATAGACAATATTCTAGTATCCTTAGGTATATTCAGTAATAAATCTTTAGCCAAGGTCTACATTGATACCAACGTTTATCAAGAATGTGATGTTCTTTTCCCTAAAACCCCTGGTTATCCTTATGTGTTATTTCTAGACCTCAAGTCTAGCCACTGCAGCTGGGAATGAGTGGGGTGTTATATCTTTAGTGGAGTGATAAAGCAAACAGCACATTTATATATTTAATGGTTTTATTCATTGTAGCTCCAGGTCCTTTAATAAGGACATCAATGAAGAAGTAGTGGAGGTGAAAGAGCAAGATTAGGCTACCTCTATGCTAATACTTGTACTATTATAACCAATGCTCTTCTAAGAGTAATATATTTAGGGAGAATTTATGTTGCTACTATCTGAGCATTATATAGAAATAATGTAGTTAAGACTCAATTAATATATCTTTTAACCTTATATACTACAATTCATCATATACTGCTTTTATAGGTTTAATAGTTAATAATTATAAGGTAGATTTTCTCTCATCTCCGCCAATGGACAGAGTTGAAGGCAGACTGGGGCATTTGTATATATCATGGTTGGGGATAAGAGGACTACCCATTACTCTGTCTCCCAAGCATTTGAATCTTTTTAAGAGGCACATATTCTAGCAAAGTAGTCTTAATATAGAATAATAACATTAATTATAACCTCTTTAAACTAGAAGCTTCACTATGATTATTTCTACTATCTAGTCTAGTGGTGAGGTGAGATTCTTTAAATGATGGGGGTTGACTGTAAAGATATTTAATGTATGAAAATGAATATATGTCTTAGTAAGACTTAAGTAGCTAATAACACAGCAGCGCCGCTTTCAAAATAATGCTGGATCTAGTTCTATGGATTGTTCGGCGGGTGGAGCAAACGATGAATCCATGGACTTGGATGGAGTAGATGGTTTGGCGTTGAGTATCTTTGACGATAAAGTAAGTCGCCACCTAACAGCACCTAGTGAGTAGTCTATTGTATGAGTTAGACTTTGATTGCACTCTAAAGCACTCTAAAACAGTTGCCCAACCGTCCGATTACGTTGACGGAAACTGACGCAACTCTAGTATGATTAGGAGGCAGCGGACTCCGTACGGGGGTGGTTGACAGCAGGTTTACAGGGATGCATGAAGAATGTCCACTCAAGCAGGTACGAGTCTAGTCAGGCACCTCGACTAGGATCAGCCAGAGTGCATACGTATTCAGAATATAAACCTGCTGGATGATAGCCGGCTAGATCCGGCAAGTATTGAACGTGATTAAAACGGATAAAATCTCCAACCCTGTAGTTTGTAAAACAAGCCTACGTAGGCAATTTGCAATTAATTAACGCGGCATATCTATTCCTCTTCCAAATTAACTCTGCATAAGTGTAGTCGTCATGCGGGCCGGACCCAAATTATGGTCCGGGTATGAGAGTTGAAGAATCCCCACTTGGGGCGTGTCGATCTCCCAGGATGAGACGAATACGTTGCGAAACGTAAGCCCGGAGGTTGTCATTCCACTTTACGGAGGATATCCGGAGGATATAAGAGCTTGCCCCAGCGTACCATTTTCTTCTCTTTTCCTTCCACCCACATTCCAACTTTCTACTCTTTATTACACTCTTTCAACTGAAACACGATGCGTCTGCTGAGCCTCCTGGGCAGCGTGGCGCTGGCCACGGCCACCCCCCTGGTGAAGACGTCGTACGGCGACCTGGTGGGCACCGAGTCGCCGTATCGGCCGGGGGTGAACGTGTACCGGGGCATCCCGTACGCGAAGCCTCCGGTGGGCGACCTCCGGTTCCGGGCGCCTGAGAAGCCGGACAACTGGACGGGGACGCTCAACGCGACGGTGTTTGGCCCGCAGTGCATCCAGCCCAACACGGGCTCGTCGATCTTCACGACGGGCGACAGCGCGCAGAGCGAGGACTGCCTGTACATCAACGTGTGGACGCCCGAGAACGCGACGGCGGGCGACAACCTGCCCGTGTACCTGTGGATGTACGGCGGGCGCTACTACCTGGGCTCGGGCGACGTGCTGACGTACGACGGGTCCGGGCTGGCGCAAAAGGACGTGATTGTGGTGACGTTCAACTACCGGCTGGGCGTGCTGGGCTTCTTCGCCCACCCGGAGCTGAGCGCCGAGTCCGGCCACAACTCGTCGGGCAACTACGGCCTGCTGGACGCGATCAACGCGCTGACCTGGGTGCACGAGGAGATCGCGGCGTTTGGCGGCAACCCGGAGCACATCACCGTGGGCGGGCAGTCGGCAGGCTCGTGCTCGGCGCTGTCGATGATGTGGAGTCCGCTGACGGAGGGACTGGGCCTCAAGGGCGTCATCGCGGAGACGGGGGCGCGCTCGGTGCACGACCCGATGACGGGCGGCTCGTCGACCAGCTACCGCGACAAGGTGGGCGCCGAGACGTTTGGCGAGCTGTTCCTGGAGGAGCTGAACCTGACGAGCGTGGCGGAGCTGCGGGCGATGAACGCCAGCGACCTGTCGTCGTACGGCTACGACAACGACATTGTGTACGAGAACACGCAGTTTGCCAACCTGTCGGCGTTTATGGAACCCCCGGAGTTCCGCCCGGTGGTCGACGGCTACGTGCTGACGCACACGTACGGCGACGCCCTGCGGCTCAACGCGCACGCCGACGTGCCCATCCTGACGGGCAACAACGCGGACGAGTCGGGCGCCGACGTCGACCCGGGCCTGACGCTGGCGGAGTTTGACGAGGACTTCAGCGCCATGTTTGGCAACTCGTCGGCGGCGGCGTTTGCGCTGTACCCGGCGGACAACGCGTCCATGGCCGACATGCAGAACAACGCCATCTTCCGCGACCTCAACCGCATCGGCACCTGGGACTGGGGCAAGGACTACAACGCGGGCGGCGCGCAGAGCAACGTCTACACCTACTTCTGGACGCACGCGGCGCCCACGGGCAGCGGCGGCGCCTTCCACGGCTCGGAGCTGTACTACGCCTTTGCCTCGATCCCCTACGCCGACACCAGCGCCAACTGGACCGAGACCGACTACGAGGTCATGGAGACCATGTCCACCTACTGGGCCAACTTCATCAAGCACAGCGACCCCAACGGCGACGGCCTGGCCGAGTGGCCGGCCAACTCCGCCGACAACCACACCTGCATGTGGCTGGGCAACCAGTTCCAGGCGGGCATGCTGGCCGATCCCGTTGAGCGCATCGACTTTTTCATGGACTGGTTTGCGACGCAGAGACAGTGGTAGTATGAGTATGAGTATTAGATGTATGTAGTATTAGAAATACTACATAATATAGTCAACTCTATGGAATAGAAGAATACAAATACTATAGTCTACCGTTGGAAGCTAGATATACCAAGTATCATGTACTACATGTGCAATGTCTACTTCAGAACAGATACCCCAAGTCAAACCACAAGAACAAGAACACGACGAGTTGGAACATCTAGCTTCTGGTAACAAATTCACATAACCTTGACACTAAATCCGTGACATCATCAGACGACACGCGGCCTCGGCTCAGGTGGATTCTGCAGCGTTGATCCCTGTCCTCTCCACCTTAATTTCCGTGCCAAGTTCCGAGAACGCGTATGCCGCGGAAGATACGGAGGATGACACGGCAGTACGGAGTGCGGAGTATATAGCTCCTCGGAAGTCTGATTCTCCTGTCTCTGTCTATTCCAGTGTCTGAGCCTGATCCTGGTCCGACATGAAGTACGCGACTCTCCTGGCCGCTGCCGCCGGCCTGGCCTCGGCCTCGGCCGTTGCATCCTCAACTTCCGCGGCCACGGCCACGCCCACCGTTGCGCTCGACTACTGCACGGTCGTGCCCGCGCAGGGCAACTCCAGCCTGGGATACTATTATTTCCAGAACATCCGGTATGCGGCGTCGCCCACCGGCGACCTGCGCTTCGCGGCCCCCGAATGGCCGCCGCAGGAGACCGGCATCAACTCCGGGCAGTACGCCTCGGTGGACGTCGACTGCACCACGCAGGAAGACTGTCTCTTCCTCGACGTGTGGATGCCGGCCGACGCCCTCGCGCGCAACGAGTCGCTGCCCGTCATGGTCTACTTCTTCGGCGGCGGCTTCACCAACGGCGGCAAGACGCAGAGCACGCCCGAGGGCCTGTTCAACATCTCCACCGACTTCATCTTCGTCGCGTTCAACTACCGCCTCGGCTTCACGGGGCTGGCCAATGGGCCCACCTACCAGCACCAGGGGGGGACCTCCAACCTGGCCATCTGGGATGCCAGCCACGGGCTGGAATGGGTGCGCCGCTATATCGCCTCCTTTGGCGGCGATCCCGGTCGAGTCACGGCCGCCGGGTTTTCCGCCGGGGCCTCGCAGGTCATGTTCCAATTGACAGTACGTTGATCCTATACTTGCTCTTCTTCCATCATGCACCTATACTAACAGATCAGCGCTTCGCGGGCCGTGCAGAGCAGCTGTTCGACCAGGCGTACATCATGTCGCCGGGCTACATCCCTGGCGCCGGCCACTACCAAGCCGAGGTATTTCTCCTCTTCCTGATCTACATCACTTGCTAATTGTGTAGAGCTACTGGCAGAACGTGTCGGCCGCCGTCGGCTGTCCCGGCGGCGATCTCTCCTGCATGCGCCAGGCCAACTGGACCAACCTCACGGCGACAGGCGCAGACATTGCCGACGCCTACGGGTACAATCTGCAGCCGCGCGCGGATGGATACATTGCGGCGGATACTTGTAACCTCCCACAGTGTATTCATATTCATGTATAAAGTATAATGCTAACTCCTCTAGATGAAGCAGAGCTGTATCAGAAGCATTTCAACTTCAGCGGCCCGCTGGTGATCAGCCACGAGCGCCACGAGGAGAACAGCCAGAACACGACGGGCATCGACAGCGCAGAAGACGTGGCGGCCGAGCTGCACATCTACTTCCCCGGCATCACCGACCAGATCGTCGACGAGATCCTGACGCTGTACCCGGCGTGGCGGTACCCTTCGCCCGGGCTGCGGCTGTCAGACATCCGGCAGTCCTTTGACATGACGGCGCACAACCTCGCCCTGACGCAGGCGCTGAACAACCAGACGTGGAACGCCCGCGTCGATCTCGACTCGGCCGTCCACGGCACCGACGGCCTCTTCTACTGGTATTCCACGTATGAGCTGCTGCCCCAGTCGGGGCTGGGGGGGGGAGTGTCGGGATACGTCAATGTGACTGTTGCTGTAAGTCTTTCACAATAACAATACTAAGCACTCACACTCACACTGGCAGCATCAAATGCAAAAATACCTGCTCTCCTTCGTGCTGACCGGCAACCCCAACACCCTCTGGCCCGAAGACAAGATCCACTGGCCGCAGTATGGCAACGAGACCAACACCCTCATCTTCAACAACACCATGAGCATCACCACCGATGATCTGGCCAACGACCGCAGTCTCTTCTGGAACAAGGCTTTGTGGTATTAGTGGATCCTTGCTCAATGTATTAGCAGCTCAATGATTATATACACCGATTCCTTGATATTGAGAAATCTCAGCAATAGTATATTATATTATACTATATTATCCTCTAGAATATCAATCTTGACCTAGATGTAATGTAATGCTAATCCTGGAGGTCTATCTTTCTATATTATTCTTCTCTCTTATCTATGTAAGTATTGAAGCTTTAATGAGTATTAGTATCTACTATATCTACTATATCTACTATATCTACTATATCTACTTATAGTATACTAATTATATTTTCCTAAATTCCTAGGTATGCCTATATCCTAGGTATGGCTCGATATGTATACTAATTCCACATCCATGTCTACCCCGCTGTCCACCTGCGGGGTAATGAGCTGAGACAGCTTATGCACTCGTCAGTCTGCCATTCATCTCTCTACAGTCTGTACTACATGTCTGTCCATGAGATGAAAGCCCGGTACGAGCAAGAACGAGAGAAACGGCTGCGCGCCGACGGCAACGCCCAGTTCATCCAGATCAACCAGTCGACGCAGTATGCGCAGTTCGCCGCCGATCCATGGGCTGACCCGGTCGACCTCCCATCCTTGCAGGCGCAGTTCCCCGGGAACCGCTTCGAGATGCTCATCATCGGCGCCGATGGGGGTCGCCATCGGCTGCACGCCGGGATACTTCAACCTCGAGGGCGATCTGGACCGGGTGCCGGCGGAGAAGAGGATGCTCCTGGCGCGGTCGGGGCTCTGGGGCTGGGGGATCGAGCACTGGCTGGCGGGCTGCCGGTGATATGAAGGGTGTTATAGCAGCTGCCATCAATTAGCATAACCCTAACCCTAAACCCTAAACCCTAACCCTAACCCTAACCTAACCTAACCTATCCAGGCTGAACTAGAGAACTCTAGGCCTATAGATACACTTATTATTAGCCACTCTCGCCTATTAATATCTAGATATTCAAGTAGATATACTATGACTCCTTGATCATAATGGAGATTTGCGACAGAGTGTCCTCCAGCAACGCCCAATCTGCTGCTATATCCGCCAACGGCTGGTCCATCTTTCCCAGCACATACGCTTGTCGGATGGAAAACGCCCTTCCATTAGGTCATTGAAAAAACGGTAGAGAGAACTCAGAGAAAGAAGTCAAAGAGAACTCACATATTGTAGGACAGCCTGGCGGTTTGGATGGTGTGACTAAAAGTCAGGTCTGAAAGAGAGCAAAGAACAAGTGACTTACTTCATGGCCCGGACGAGATACAGCCCCCCGATGACTCCGGAAGTCTTGATCTTTTGCACGACAAAGGGATCCTGGAGAAGCTCATGGCCGTGTTCGTCAGCCAGCAGGAGCCGGCTGTCCGCGAGGACTGCCCACACGCCGTGAATCTCATCTCTGGACACATCAGAAGGAACTGCAGCTCTAGGGATGATGGCTTACTGTGGTCGACCGGCCAGGGTGAAGACCTGCCATTCAATGAAGAAGTAGCCCTCTGGATCCGGGCGTAACCTGCTCGAGGGTTCATGGATGACGGTGATGCACCAAGCGCGGATGCCGATGCCAAAGGCGCTGGAAGAGGCGTCGACGACGTCGGCCCTGCCGCCCGCCATGGTGAGATACAGCAGCTGCTGTCCTCGCTTGGTGTTGGCCATGTCGAGCAGATCGGAGAGCACATGGATGAGCGACTTGGAGGCGGCCGAGCCGTAGGAGCCCGTCAAGCCGTCGCGGGTCTTGTCGTCGAGGGCGCCGTCCAGGGCCATCTCGAGATGCTGCAGGATGGCGTTGAGCGGGGTGCGAAAGGCATGCGCCGAACTGTCCAGCAGGATCCTGGTGAGCTGCGAGTTCTGCATCGCGGCCTCCTTGTGCCGGCGGATGCTGAGGAACCTGCTGCACACAAAGCACAGCGCGGCCGCGGCCTCGACGTGGGCCGGCGACCACTCGTGCGACTGGCCGAGCACCGTCTCCTGCCAGGCGGCGAAGCTGTTGCGCGGCTCCAGCAGGCCTATCGAGCCCTGGGGGGGGTGTTTTGTATAGGGATTCCCCCCCCAGGCGATCTTGGCCAGTTGGCCCTTGCGGAAGAAGACCAGAAAGTCGCCGCCGTGAGGGGAGAAGGGCAGATAGAGCAGGCCCGAGATGACCTGCAGGCCCGGGGGATAGCGCAGCGCAGGGAAGTCCCGGGCGATGTCGTGCGACGCCAGCACCGAGTCCCGCTGGCCGTGCATGCGCAGGAAGCCCAGCAGGGCCAGCACGTCGTGGGCGTCGCTGCCGTCGCCCAGGATCCTGGTCTCGTCGCCGATGCACAGCGCGCCGTAGTCGGCATCGAACAGGCGCATCAGGTCGTCGCACGACGCCAGCAGGTGGCCCGCCGGGTTGGCCTGCGAGGGCAGCGTGCTGAGGAGATTGCGCACCTGCAGCGACGAGGCGTGCGAGAGACGCTCGATGTTGCGGGCCACGGTCTCGCCCAGCAGCCGGCACATCTTGCGCACGGGGAACGAGACACGCATGCCCTGCGTGCCATACGCATGGCAGGAGATGAGCCCCCAGAGATCGCCAAAGGCGTTGATGCTGATCGACATGCACGACCGCACCTGCATGTGCGCGAGATAGCGCAGATGCACGGGCGACAGGGCGCGCAGATACGCATGCGTCATGTCCAGCGGCGTCTCCAGGTCTTCGCGCGAGCGACACACCAGCCGTGCGGTGATCTGGTCGCGGTCGTACAGCAGCCGCACGCGGTTGAGCTTGTACAGATGGCGGGCCTGCGCCGGGATGTCCGCCGCCGGGAAGCGCAGCCCTTTATACAGATCGACCGTCACCTGCGGATCGACCAGCTCGGCCACCACCTGGCCGTTCCAGCGGCTGTCGAACCGGTAGATCATCACCTTGGGGAACCCCGTCAGCTCCATCACCAGGCCGGCCGTGGTGTTGAGCAGCGAGTCCAGCTCGAGCGTCGCCCCCAGCTGCTCCTGGATCTGCGCCAGCACCGTGAACACCTCCATGACGGCCGGCCCTTTGCTGCGCCGCACAGTGCGCAGGATCCGCAGCGGCTGGCTGGTCTTGGTCGTGCTGGCGACAATCTGCTCTGCCGTGGGGAACACCCCGAGCGTGCTGACCGGCACCGGCGGCGAGGCCATCGCCTGCGCACACAGCGGGCTGATCTCGTCGTCTTCCAGCTCCAGCTCGCAGAGAAGCAGATCGCTGTGTGCTGGGACAAGGTGCACTGCGCACCAGAAGCGTCGGGGCTCTCCTCCCTCGGCCGTGGCGATGGTCAGGGCGAACACCTCGGGCCCATCGACGCGGAGATCGACGGTGCGGTCCTGGGCAACGCGGATATGGTCCAACAGGGTCTCGGCCTGGTCGTGCGCCAGGATGTCGCAGAAGCTGTGCAGCAGGAACAGCTGCTGCGGCGAATGGCCCATCAGCCGGTGGCAATTCTCGCTGACCACCCGCACCACCAGCTGGCCGGCCGACTGCTCTCGCAGGGCGAGCATCGCGCCGAAGCTCTGGATCGCGCCGGGGATGTGGATCGGCTCATCCTCGCAGTACTGGAACTGCACCGAGGCCTCCCCGGCGCCGGTGATCACCCCGTGGCCCCCTTCGGTCACGACATGGGTGGATCGCGTCGTGAGGAAGCCAGGCCCGTGGAGTGCGGGGGGCTGGGGTCGGGATTGCGGGGATGGAGTGCGGTCGCTTTTTACGGGGTCCGAGTCCGGGGTGGCTGTCGACATTCTCCAGGCTCTTCAATCTCGATACGTCGTCTTGGTCTTAGACACTCGACTCATCATATTCTGGCTGAACAGTGAACAGTGAACAGTGAACAGTGAACTACAAGACATGCAGGGTACTTTCATTCCTCCAATGGCCATCTACGGAGTCTATCTCCAGCTCGGCTGGCCTGTCATGGTGGAATGAGGGGAGCATCACATGCTTGGCCTATCATCAGCTGATTCGGATGCGACGGCCTTTATTCGGCGAGCTTATTTGGTTTTCTGATCTCAAGGTATTATTTATATATCTAACCAATTTTTAGAGATAACTGTCAACTGCAATCCTAGTCAGAATTGATAAGATATATGCTTAGATAGACGGGACAGCTCCAGCGTGGAAATATGGCGCCGCGAGGGCCTGCAAGATGCACCATAGCTGCAAGGGCCGAGACAGGAGTATTACTACCTAGTGTAGCCTAATGGCCAGATAATAAGAATTCCAATCTTAATACTATAGGCTTGCTCATAATCTGTTGCAGAAAAGGATGACCTTGAGGCTGCCAATCAGGATGATTCGTGTACTTTACAACGTCACCTGACTAACTAAGCCTAATGTAGTTAGCGTTACACTCCCATTTTTCATTCACTCGACATATCTGGCCTGACTGACGTCAGATATGCTGGGTAGCGTGCGAATCATATAGGATTTGTTAAAGTTATGAGCCTAATTGACTCTTAATCATCATTATATTTATCTATAAGCTTTAAAGACCTGCCAAAGACATGAAACTACTATATTAATAATACTAATAAGCTAAAATAATATTTATAAACCTATACTATATATATAGACTACTAATACACCACTAATAAGCTAAAGATAATAAGTATTCTAGATAGAATATTAAATAATATAAAGATATTAATTTTATTAAGAAATAGTATAGACTAGCATCTTTAGTATAAAGCCCTATAAATTATTATAGATTTATATAATATCTAGAATTATAATAATTTAGATAATAATATAAAACTAGAGCTATTAATAGCTTTAAATATTATAGATTATAATAAAGAGGCATAATTACCTAGAGACCTAGAGAGATACTAATTAATTATATATATTAAAATTAATAAAAAATATTACTATAAGTAAAAGAAATATAAATAATTAAAGATAAGAATCTTCTATATCTTAAGTTATATATTTTAGTCTATATAGACTAATCTCCTAACTATTATAGCTAATAATAATATTATAAAGAAGATAATTAAGTAGTTATAAATATATTTAGTACTAATAAAGATATATTATAAAGCTAAGCTAATAAATTAATAAAGAAATATTAATAATAAATATATATTAAAGACTAATTTAAATAAATAGTTAAATAGCTAGAAATCTATATATTATAATTATAAAGATATAAGGATTAAAGTTATTATAGATAAAATATAGCTAATACTATAATTCTTAAGCTATATTAATTAACTTTATAAAGACTATATATTAAATATAAAGTTAAAGCTTTAATATAAAGACCTATAAATAATAACTATTAATAAACTATTAGTAGATTTTTAATAATATCTTATAATATAATTAACTAAGTATATTAACTCTATAGATATAATATTTATAATATATAAAGGATAAGATAAAAATAGATAAAAGGAGGCTAAAAAGGAGGCTAATAAGAATTAAATTTAAGGGCCTTATAAACTAAAGAAAAGAGATAAATATATATATAATAAATAATGTGATATCGCGAGCGAGCGATATCGTGAACTCCCGCGTGGCCATGAGCGGGATCACCTCGGCGGAACGCCAAGGTGCCCGCTCACTGACGACGCGAGATCTCCCGACCCTGGTGGAGCGGTTATGTAGAGTTTTTGCTCCATACCAGGGATTGATTGATTCTATAGAGTTCTATCGCCACCGGGTCGCTCAGCTTTTGATGAGCCAAGGGGAGGTATATAGATACCTTCCCTCTGACCCATGGTAGCGATAGAACAGAGATTTTCTAGAGGAATTAATTTTCGAATATCACAATAATATTTATTTAATATATATCTATATATTAATAAGTATATCTAGAAGCTAGAATAAAAACTAGATAATATTATTATAAAAAGATTTAAATAAATAAAGAAGAGAATCCTTATATTAAAAAGTGCTATAAATAAGGTCTATAAGAAGGTAAATAAGCTCTATATAAAAAGAAGAGAGATATATAATACTAATACTACTTATTAAATATATAATATTTATAGTATATATATTAAACTTAATAAAGATAAGTATATAACTAAGAGCTCTATAATAAATTAAGCTATTAATATAGATAATATATATATTTAATAAAAAGTAGGTAAACTATTTAATATAAATAGTATTATAAAATATATATTAAGTAATAACTATATCCTAGATTTAGGTATAAGTATATATATTTATAATAACTAATCTAGATTTACTATATATATATTAGTTAATAATATATTATAGACTAGTATAAAGTATAGCCTATATAAGAGAGTAAGTATAATTATAATATATCTTAAAATAACTAATAGATATTAAACCTCTCTAGATCTTAAAGATATAATCTATACCCTAGGATTCTATATAAATCTTATATTATATAAGTAATTAAAAGAGAAAGAATTATATTAAGATAACTTAAATATATAACTTATAAATAAATTAATTAATATTTATATTATTTAAGATAAGTATAATTAATTTATACTTAAATATAATAAATTATAAACTATATTTATAGTAGATATAATACTTTAAGCTATAATAATAATTATAATTAATAATAAAAAGATTATAAATAAAGATTTATAAAGATTATAAAAACCCCTAATAATAAAGGAAATTATAAAGAGATAATATAGATAATATAGCTATATTAAATATAATACCCTAAAGCACCTTATAGATACTATTAATAATATTAAGATTATAAATAATATTAAGAAGCTAAAGAATAAATATTATATTTATAGACTTATTTTTATTTTATAAAAAATATTAAGATAACTAATAATATATATAAATAAAGTATTTAAATATATATACTTTAATCTTATTTAGATAATTATAAGCTATAATAGCCTAAATTAAGTTATATACTTTATTAATAATATAATAAGATTCTATTAGGTTAAGTATATTAAATATAAGAGTAATATTTATAAAATAATAATAAACCTTAAAGATTAAGTTAAATATTAGTTTAATATTAAGGTAAAGGTATATTATATAGATAATAAAAAGACCTTAATTAAAGATATTAATTATCTTATTATTAGTATAATATTTAAATAGATAATTCTAGGAATAGTAGAATAAAATAGCTATATTAAATATATTAAAGGGGTGATATTAAAGATATTAAGAAGCCTATATATTAAAAATAATATATTATAAGATTTATAGCTAGAAATAATTAATTATAGAGTATAAATACTTAATAATATATCTATATAAGATTAAGGATAAAAAACCTTAAGATAATAATTAAATAAACTTATTAATAGTATAATTATTATAGCTAAAAAAAATATAGCTAATACTTACTTATATAGCTCTTATATATATATATAATAATAAGATATACTATAAAAAAAAAGATAGAACTATAAGTATTAGTTAGATACTTTATTAAATAATTAGTATTAAATATTATTTATATATAAAACTTAAGGAAATAGACTATATTTAAATGCTATAACTTTATAGTTAATAAAATAATTAAGTATAATTTAAATAATTTATTTATTAAGGTTACTTTATAGATAATATTACCTAAATCACCTATAAATCTATTAATATTATTAATAAATAAGCTAATTAAAGCTAATAACCTTATAAGTATTAATAATAAGGATATATACTAGAGATTAGATACCTAAGAGTAAGATACTATTATATAAATAATTAAATAAGATATATTTAATATAGAACCTCTTAAGAAAGGCTATTATAGATTCTTTAAGAATAATAGTAATAAATAGATAAACTACTAGAAAATAATAATTATCTTATAAATAATAATATTAGAGTAGATAGTAGTAATATTAAGTTTATTATAATAATTATAAATAATAATAAAATAATTAGATAAGTAGTTAAATAAGTAACTATAGGGTGCTTTAATAATAATATAAATATTAAGGATCTTATTTATAGATAAAGATTAAGAACTAGATAATATAAAGTATTATAAGATAAAACTAAGTCTAGATACTAGAAATATAATTTAGAGATAATAAACTTATAAAGCTTTAAGATAATATAAAGATAATAATATATATATTATATAGAGACTAAATAGTATATATAATATATTTAATATATTAATTATAATAAAGCCTATAGACCTAAAGGCTTTAAGTATAAATAAATAGTTATATTAAAGCTAGATGCCACTACCCCTAAATAATTAAAAAAAAATACTTAAATATTAATATAAGAACTAGTTTATTAAGATTATAATAACTAAATATAATAGTCTATTTAAATATAAAATATTCTAAATTATTAAATAATTAAATAATATTATAATTATCTTACTCTAATAAGTGTTTACTTATAAATTTAATTTAGATAATTACTTATTAAAGTTTAAAATATAATTATATATATATAGAGACTTATAGCCTTTCTTAATATAAAAAATATAAGCTATAATACTTATAGTATAAATATTCTAGATATTAATAATATTAGTCACTATATTTAACCTAAAGATATACTAATATAATATAGTTAATATATTATTAATAGCCTATTAAATAAGATAATTTATATAGATATATCTCTTAAATTTATATAGAATAATAAAGCCCTCTTATTAATATAAGTCTTATATAAGCTATAAAGATTACTAAAGTTATAATAAAAGAATTTAATTATAACTTTTAATATATTAAAATTAAAGCTATCTAAAGACCCCTACCTCTTTATAAATAATAAGCTTATTTTATTAATATATATTAATAACTTTATCCTTACCTATTTTAAAGAGGATAAAGTATATATAAATAAATTTAGTAAAGCACTAAATAATATTTATTAAATATATAAAATAAAACTTAAATAGTTTCTTAATATATAGATCTATAAAGACTATATTAATTAAAAACTTTAGCTATATTAAGATATTTATATTATAATAATTATTATAAAGTATAAGCTTCTTAATTATAAACTACTATAGATGCTAGTATTAGTTAATTATTTAATTAAGAATATAAAGATTATAATATAAAACTAGATATAATATTATTAAGAATTAATAAGATTACTTATTTATATAATAATTATTATAAGAGTAGAATTAGCCTAGATTATAAATAAATTAAGAGAATTTCTATTAAATCTATTAGCTAAGTATATTAAAGCTATAGAATAGGTAATTCTATATTTATATAAAATAAGATTCTTAATTATTTACTATAGATACTTAATAAAGAGTCTTATAAATAATCTATTAATTAGCTAAATACTTATAGATTATCTAGTATTTATATATATAAATAATATAGTATATATAAATAATAATAACTATAAAAGTATATAAGAATATATCTATCTATTATATAGAGGACCTATAGATTAAAAGATATTAAAATAATAAACTATAATATAGTTAGTATTATACTTTAATTTTTTATTCACTTGATATATCTGGCCTGACTAATGTTAGATATGCTGGGTAGTGTGTGAATCATATAGGAATATGATACTATTAGACCTGAATACATATAGGATTTGTTAAACTACATTTAGTCAGCCTGGTGATATTATTAAAATATCCTGGCGATCAAACTGACCTGTGATGCATGAAATAAGTGGTATTCATCTATCCCTTGTCTATCTGAAGCTTGGCAATGGGCCAGTCCAAACGTCGGCGGTATGAAGAGCTCTTGGCAATCAAATCACGCAGTTATTGGCATGCCGATCAGGAACTACCTTAAACCCATCCCCTGATAGAATCATTCTTCTGCTTCCAAGCAATGCTATTCCCAAATACTGCCATTTCTCCGATGACTTTCCTGCTCTGTCGGACCCTACTTTTCCTCCGTGCCAAGATCCCCACACTCCTTCATCCTCGCGTACGCAGCGTGACGTGGACATAGAGTAGAATCTATGCCTTTATGGTGTTACCCCTCACTCCCCACAAAGTTAATATAATGTATAAGTTATAGTGTAGTAAATGTGTATAATGGTAACTTCATTCCACTTGTACTTCTATACTATAGCTTACTTCTATACTATAGCTTACTTCTATACTATAGCTTACTTCTATACTATAGCTTGTCAAGCTTACATTCACTATGAATCTATTGATCCTGGCTACCGCAGCAGCGGCAGCAGCGGCAGCAGCAACGCTGGACGATGTATGCACCGCAGCATACGCCGAGGCAGCCCTGCCAGTCGACGGCATCGTGACGGGCGTGACGTTCAACGTCTCCTCCGTGACCACGACGGCAATGACCAACGTCTCCGTCTCGGGCGCCGATTTCCCCTCGGGCGTCATCGACTACTGCGCCGTGAGCTTCAGCTACGCCCACCAGAACGCCGGCGACGAGGTCCTGCTGGAGTTCTGGATGCCGGCCCCGGCAGCCTTCCAGAACCGCTATCTCTCCACCGGCGGCGGCGCCTTTGCCATCAACTCGGGCAACAACTCGCTGCCCGGCGGCGTGCTGTACGGAGCCGTCAGCGGCATCACCGACGGCGGCTTCGGCAGCTTCACCAACGAGCTGGACGACGTGTTCCCCCTGGGCAACGGCACGGCCAACTGGCCTCCGCTGTTCATGTTTGGCTACCAGGCGCACTACGAGATGACGATCATCGGCAAGGCGCTGACCAAGGCCTTCTACAACCTGACCGACGACGACAAGCTGTACGCCTACTACCAGGGCTGCTCCGAGGGCGGCCGCGAGGGCTGGTCCCAGCTGCAGCGCTATACAGACTGGGACGGCGCCGTGGTGGGCGCCCCCGCGCTGCGCTTCTCGCAGCAACAGATCAACCACATGTACTCGGCCGTCGTGGAGAAGACGCTGGACTACTTCCCGGCGCCCTGCGAGCTGGAGCAGATCATGAAGGAGACCATCACCGCCTGCGACCCGCTGGACGGCCGCGTCGACGGCGTCGTGGCCCGCACCGACCTGTGCATGCTGCACTTCAACCTGAGCTCGCTGGTGGGCGTCGCATACGCCTGCAACGCCACGGACTCGCTGCTGGGCGGCGCGGAGCCGGCGCAGAACGGCAGCATCACGGCCCAAGGCGTCGCCGTCGCGCAGGCCATCTACAACGGGCTGCACAACTCGGCCGGCGAGCGCGTCTACCTCTCCTACCAGATCGGCACCTCCTTCGACGACGCGACGACCGTGTACAACAGCACGACGGGCGAATGGGCCATGGACACGGGCGTCAACGGCGGCACCGAGTGGATAGCCCGCTTCATCCAGCTGCTCGACACCTCCTCGCTCGACTGGGCCGACTTCACCTACGACGATCTCGCCGAGTACATGTACACCGGCTGGCAGATGTACGAGGATAGCCTGCAGACCACCTGGCCCGATCTCTCGCACATCCGCGACGCCGACATCAAGATCCTGCACTTCCACGGCGAGTCCGACCCCAGCATCCCCGCCGCCTCGTCGGTGCATTTCCACGAATCCGTGCGCCAGATCGTCTACCCGGGCCTCGGCTTCAACGAAAGCTCCGCCGCCCTGGCCGACTGGTACCGTCTCTATCTCATCCCGGGCGCTGCCCACTGCGCCATCAACCCCTACCAGCCCGACGGGCCCTGGCCCATGACCCAGCTGTTGACCCTCATCCAGTGGGTTGAGGACGGCGTGGTGCCGGTCACCCTCAACGGCACCATCTCTACTACCGACGAGCAGATGGATATCTGTGCCTGGCCCTTGCGGCCCTTGTGGGTCAATTCCACGCTGGAATGTGTCTATGACCAGGCCTCGATTGATACCTGGATGTATACCTTTCCGGCTTATGACATGCCTGTTTATTGATATACTGCATATTACTACAACCCCAATTGATCTGTCACTTTGGCGTCCATGTGAATATTGTAATGTCTATCAATCATTGCTCGGACTGGTCATTTTCTCAGTCCGTGACAGGGAATCCCCAGCTCTTGACTCTCGTAGCTGGAGCTTCAATTCCCGTTGTTCCGATTGACAGGCGAGCTCTTTTATGTCCCTAGATTTAAGGAAGAAGATAATCCAAGTGCTAAGCGGGCAATACTAGGCCATAAGATAATAAATACTAACCTCATGCCTAGGACTCAGGTGTTTATGTGTAAAGATTAAAAATATATTCATTTATATACTATTATAGCAGAATTTGATATACTTTTCTCTCTATATAGTTAGAAGATTCCAACATTGGCTAACAGTTCACTATCCACTGAACCACCCTGCAGAAGAGTGACATGGGAAGCATATAGGCGAGATGGTATCTCGTTCAACCCCAGGAGACTCGTCTAGGCAAAATTCACTTCAAGGACCCAGGCGAATAGAAACATCACCTCGACAGTCGTAAGTTGCCAACTGACTACTTTTCCATACAAAGCTAAATCCAGCCCAATAGCATAGGGGTAAGGGGGAAACTAGAAATATGAGAATGACATCAATACTTGAAATGAGTCTATGGATATATATATAGTGGTGACATCTTATACAAAACAGCACTTATATGTCTTAATTATGTGGCTTTCAAAGTCTAAAATATTTAAATAGTCTTGATAGTTTTTGCCCACACTGTCTAGAACATTCATGCCATCACTGAGGAGATATTGTTCACCTAACCTCCAGTTACACCAGTTTCATTAGCCACTGGTATGTTGCTAGATGAGACGAAAGATGGAGATTAGCCAAGTGTGTCCAGCTAGTGCACTTGGAAAGATCCAGCTGCAAGTTGATCTTGTAATTAAGCCATTGTAAGTTAGATAATATATATAGAAATATAAGGAATAGTATAGAGAGACTTGGTATTTATAATGCTGTATATCAAGTCTACTATTCCTCAGCGTTATTCACTAGTATACTATGATACTATTTATATAGACTAGTTAATTCTATCTGCTATAATTTGACAACCTGAAAGAATACTCCAGGTGTATTCAAGTGCTTAAGGATTGTGTCTGTTATCTCCAGTAGACCTGAATATTATGGCTTGATGGTAGATAATTTAATAGCTTATGGCAAAGGTATTTACTTGCTGCAGTATATAGAACGATCTAGTAGGAATACTTCAACTGTAATGTGTTCCACAGTTTTAATCAAAAGAGTACAAGACTCAACGCTTGAATACTTGCTGTCGCAAGCTGACAGGAAGTACTCAATCTTTGCATAGCATACTTATTACTATGCATAAATCCAATAGCCATATGCCTTATGTTGGGCTCTACTGAGCACGCGTTTATTCCATTCGACCAGAATACGACACCCACATTCTAGATAAACAGTTCTTATTTGCCTCACTTAGCAATCCTGGTGGCTTGTTCCCTCGCTTATTTTGCCTTCACCTTCACCGCATCTTCCAGCCTGATAGCATGTATTAGCAGCAGCTATTCTATAACATATCACTATAGCACTTATATTAATACTTATCATTAATATAATATTTATATAATTCACTATAATTAATACTCTAAATTATATCACTATATACTATATACTATATACTATATACTATATACTACATACATCTCTAGCAAACAATCCCAGGCTAGACCATGGTCTTCCGTCCTAGGGTGCTCAGACCTCGTGGTTTTCTGGGGTAGAGTGTGGGGTAGACAGCCACCTCTCCACCTCCTCCACCTCCACACTATCCCAACGCCTTCACTCCACACTCCTCCTCCTCCTCCTCCTCTTCCTCCTCCTCCACCTCCTCCACACTCCCAACGCTAAGCTACGTAGTATGCTCAATTTCTGGCAACGCTGTGTCCAAAATGAAATCCCTCAGGACTGCCAAGAGCATACGCGGCTGTGGGTACGGTGGATGTGGACCTGTGGGCCACTCTGTAACACCCACATCCCCACCAATCCCTAGAGTATAAAGACCCGAACACAGGAGGACGGAAATATCCAACCCATCCTCAAGCCTTTCTCTCTCTCTTCCGTGAAAAATGCGCGCTCTTCTCGCTGCTCTCAGCCTGGCGGCGCTGGGTGCCGCGGCGCCCGCCAAACGATCCATCGATTCGGTCTGCACCGAGGAATACGTCAAGGCGGCGCTGCCGCTGGACGCGATGACGGGCTTGACGCTCAACAGCTCGTCGGTGGTGGTCAGCATCACCAAGAACTACACGGCGGCGAGCTCGGACTTCTATCCCAGCGCGACGTTCGACTACTGCGGCGTGGAGTTTGCGTACTCGCACAACGGGCTCGAGGACGACGAGGTGCTGCTGATGTTCTGGCTGCCTGCACCGTCGGCCTTCCGCAACCGGTACCTGTCGACCGGCGGGGGGTCCATGTCCATCAACTCGGGCAACGGCACGTTGCCCGCGGGGGTGATGAACGGAGCCGTGGCCGCCGCGACGGACGGCGGATTCGGCAGCTTCGGGGCCAACGAAGACGACGTGTTCCTGCTGGCCAACGGGACGATCAACTACGAGGCGCTGTACATGTTCGGGTACAAGGCGCACCACGAGATGAGCGTGATCGGCAAGGCGTTTACGCGCAACTTCTTCCAGATGAGCGCCTCCGCCAAGCTGTACGCGTACTATCTGGCGTGCTCCGAGGGCGGGCGCGAGGGATGGAGCCAGATCCAGCGGTACGACGACTGGGACGGGGCGGTGGTGGGCGCGCCGGCGTTCCGGTATGGGTTCCAGCAGGTGCAGCATCTGTGGAGCGACATGGTCGAGAAGGAGATGGACTACTACCCGCCGCCGTGCGAGCTGCAGAAGATCATGAACATGACGCTGGCGGCGTGCGACGGGCTCGACGGGCGCGTCGACGGGGTGGTCTCTCGGACGGACCTGTGCGGCCTGGAATACAACCTCACCTCCACGATCGGCGAGCCGTACTACTGCGCCTCGGCGAGCAGCTCGAGCTTCACGCGGCGCCAGGTCGGGGGCACGACGTACCCGGCGCAGAACGGCACGGTGACGGCGCAGGGGGTGGCCGTCGCGCAGGCGATCGTCGACGGGATGAAGGACTCGCAGGGGCGCCAGGTCTATCTCTCCTACCAGCCGGCCAGCCCCTTCTCGGACGCCGAGGCGGCGTACGACGCCGACACGGACTCGTGGGAGCTGAACGTGTCGGCGATCAGCGCCGACTGGGTGGAGCGCTATCTCCGCCTGCTGGACTCGATGACGCTGTCGCTGGCCAACGCGACGGCCGACACGCTCAAGGAATGGATCTACCAGGGCTGGCAGCGGTACGAGGACGTGCTGCAGACGACCTGGCCGGACCTGTCGGTCTGGCACGCCGCCGGGGGCAAGGTCATCCACATCCACGGCGAGAGCGACTCGAGCGTGCCCTCGGCCTCGTCGGTGCGGTACTGGGAGTCGGTGCGCAGCACCATGTACCCGGGGCTGTCGTACTCGGAGGGCGCCAACGAGCTGAACGACTGGTATCGGCTGTTCCTGGTGCCTGGCGCCGGCCACTGTGGCCCGTCGACGCAGCAGCCCAACGGGCCCTTCCCGCAGACGACGCTGGAGGTGCTGATCGAGTGGGTGGAAGCCAACAAGACGCCGACGACGCTGCCGGCGACGACGCTGTCGGGGGCCTACGAGGGCGAGGCCTGGGAGCTGTGTGCGTGGCCGCTGCGGCCGTTGTGGAAGGGGGAGACGTTTGAGTGCGTGTACGACCAGGCCAGCATCGATACCTGGCACTGGGATCTGGACAGCTGGGACATGCCTGTTTATTGACGACTATAGTAGTAGTTTACTATACTCTATACTATATACTATACTATACTATATACTGTACTATATACTCGTACTGTAACTGCTATAACTGCTATACTATAACTATTTATATTATAACTACTGCTATACTATATACTATACCATACTGCTCTATATACTATAATTACTATTATAACTTATTATAACTGCTATACTACTATGGCTACTATAATACTATAATACTCTCTACTATATACTATACTACGTACTATATACAATGACCTCGGCATTGATCCTTGTTCTGTGACCTTGTTCTGCCGATCTGTGGGGTTGTGGGTTCTATACTCTATCCCCAACATGAACGCGTATGCCTGTCGGAGAGTTGGCGATCCCGAGGTTGATCCCCACGATGGCTTCATCACTTTTACTTCCGGCGCTTGATCTGTATCCGGGCCGCGTAATGTCTTGCGTGGTGGTGAGTATAAAGCTGGATGTACTCCATGTACACTCAGAATACAATCAACCAACCCATTCACCATCATGTTTCTCCTTCTCTTTGTCGCCGCGGCGGCCGCCGTCTCGCTCGAGTCGGTCTGCCAGAGCGACTACATCCAGTCGCGGCTGCCCGCCGACGACTTCATCATGGGCGTCTCCCTGAACGCCGACTCGGTGCAGGCCAACGCCGTCTACAACGCCTCGGTCAGCGACTCGACCGACTATCCCGACGCGACGTTTGACTACTGCAACGTCACCTTCTCCTACACCCACGCCGGCCTCAACGACACGGTCAACCTGTGGTACTGGCTGCCCGCCCCCGACAAGTTCGCCCACCGCTATCTGTCCACGGGCGGCAGCGGCTACGCCATCAACACGCTCGACACGGAGCTGCCCTCGGGCATCATCTACGGCGCCGCCTCGGGCTGCACCGACGGCGGCTTTGGCGGCTTCACCGAGGCCCTGGACGACGTCTTCCCGGTCAAGAACGGCACCGCCAACCTGGAGGCCCTGTACATGTTCGGCTACGAGGCCATCCACGAGCTGACCCAGCTGGGCAAGGAGTTCACCTCGCTCTTCTTCAACGCCACCGACGACAAGGTCTACGCCTACTACCAGTCCTGCTCCGAGGGCGGCCGCGACGGCTGGAGCCAGGTCCAGCGCTTTGGCGACCAGTTTGACGGCGTCATCACCGGCGCCCCCGCCATGCGCTACTCCTTCCAGCAGCTCGTCCATCTGGTCTCGCCGCTGATCGAGCAGAACCTCAACTATGCGCCGCCCCCCTGCGAGCTGGAGCTGATTGTCAACGAGACCATCGCCTTCTGCGATCCCCTCGACGGCCGCACCGACGGCGTCATCGCCCGCTCCGATCTCTGCCGCCTGCATTTCAACATGTCCTCCGTCATCGGCAAGCCCTATTACTGCTCCGGCGACGCCTCCGAGGGCGGCTCCCCCCCGACCAAGAAGGCCAAACGCCAGTCCGTCAGCCCCAGCCCGGCCCAGAACGGCACCGTCACGGCGCTGGGCGTCGAGGTCGCCCAGCAGATCATCGACGGCCTCAAGGACTCGCAGGGCCGCCAGGTCTATCTCTCCTACCAGATCGGCGCCTCGTTCGAGGACGCCGAGACGGCCTACGACGACACCACCGACACCTGGGAGGTCAGCGCCGACCAGATCGGCACCGAGTTCGTCTCGCGCTTCCTCTTCCTCGAGGACACCTCCGACCTGGCCGACTTTGCCAACGTCACCAACGACATCGTCAAGGACTGGATGTATGAGGGCTGGACCCGCTACCTCGACTCCCTGCACACCACCTGGCCCGACCTGACCCCCTTCCACGCCAACGGCGGCAAGATCATCCATTACCATGGTGAAGCCGACAACAGCGTGCCCACCGCCTCCTCCGTGCACTACTACGAGTCCGTCCGCAGCGTCATGTACCAGTATCTGTCGTACAACGAGAGCATCGAGGCCCTCAACGACTGGTACCGTCTCTTCATCGTCCCGGGCGCCGCCCACTGCTCCACCAACGACCTCATGCCCAACGGGCCCTTCCCGCGCACAAACCTCGCCACCCTCATCGACTGGGTCGAGAACGGCGTCGAGCCCGTCACCCTCAATGCAACCGTCATGTCCGGCGACTACGAGGGCGAGCAGTGGCAGCTTTGCGCCTGGCCCCTGCGGCCCATCTGGAGCCAAAACGGCACCGTCATGGACTGCGAGTACGACCAGGCGTCCATCAATACCTGGCTGTGGGACTTTGATGCCTTCCCCATCACTGTCTGGTGATTGTGCTTCTTCTCTCATTGTACATAACACTCTCTGTCGGAATTTATTATCCTCCGAGCATTCAAGGTTCAGCCACAGGCCCACCACTGTGGGGTACGAGTGCCACATACGTAGTGTAGATCAACGGAGTATAGAGTACGTAGTACGTAATCTTAAGAGCCACCCTTACTTCATGCAGGAGTCAATAGGTACATAGGTCATACTTTAGCCTATAATTGAAACTGATCATCTCTATACTTTCATGAGCTACCAAGACTAGGTTTCACCATCTATTGGCATCAGTTGATCTCAGTGAGGCATTAGCAGTAAGGAGTCTAGTTTTTCAGTTTAACAAATTACCTAGAAAATATGCCTTACATGATCAAGTGATAATCCCGACAATCTTATGATTTCCAGTCGTCTACAGGTGGCGATGGCTAACTTGGAGTTGGTTATGTGTACTTTGATTCTGGCACTACTATTATTATTCTTAGGATTATCCATGGCATATAACTAAATGGCTTTCTAGTATAACAGGGTCTAATAAATATAAACTTATTTACTGAATACTTATATATAAAGAGAGGATAAACTTTATTAACTACCTCCTATATGATGATACCATTAAAGTAATACTGCTAACTAGGATAAAAAGAAGAAGCTAGAGCCCAAGATAAATTTAACAAGGCATCTAAAATATCATAATCGCGCCGGCGGGAATCGAACCTGCAACACCAGCAAAAAGATGTGGTCCCAGTGGGGGTCGAACCCACGACTTTGGCGTTATTAGCACCACACTCTAACCAACTGAGTTATGGGACCGTATGGACGAGGCTGCCGGAATTGAACATTAGGAACTGTTACTTTGTTGCTTAAGCTTTACCCTCCTATAGGCAGTCAACCAGGTAATATTATATAGACTTAGTCTGGCTTAGTTAAAGTATCTAAATAAGTGTTATGCACTATAGGGAATAATCCTGTCAGCTATATATGTCTACCACTCTAGAAACCTTTAGTGACACACAGTAAATAATAATAAGTTGACTATATATTTTTATCTGACTATTCTATGGCTGAAAGTGATGGGTCATGCGCCACGGCTCGCATAAAATTGCCAGGAAACTACTCCATGCTAGATGAATAATCTTACAGCTGGTCAGTGACAGCCACTTGTCGTCAGCCCTTCAGCTGGAGAAGATGCAAGATAAAATCGGTGAATGGAGGCGAAGCAGAGAGGGGAAACACATAAGATGCCTCGGTTTCGGGTTCTCCCCAGCTCAAATCTCTCATCTCTCAACTTGAACAAAGAGTCTCTCAATAAAGACCTTTTCTAAAAACAGAAGAAAGTATCCCCAAGCATGGAGTTTGCCAGTAAGTCAGATTACATGCCAGAGGGAATGGAAGTACTATGACTTACACAAGGATTGCAGAGGTCACCGCCGTGGAGTTGTTGACACCGCATGTCCCCTTGACCAACCTTGGGATCCAGGATGATCCTGACTGGAACCCCGAGAGGTTTACCCTCTGGCATGCCGGCAAGCCTCTGGAAACTACGCCCGCCACCATCAAAATGGATGCTGCCGAGCGTCCCATGTTACAGTTGTCCCTGCTGGCGAGGCCTGTCTCTTGGGATCCCAAGGAAGAATGGTGCGTCTGCGGAGAATTGGTGTACTCCAAGCCATCAGTGCCCACAAAATCATTCCTTCTGCAAAGCAAGGCCTTCAAGATGAGCCCCAGAACACCCAACGGGCCCGGGGGCCGCATGTTCACGGTGCAGATGGAAGTCCCTGCTGTGACGGGGCCCGCCCGGGAGATTCCCTGGGGATTCAAAGGCGTGGTCAAGTGGCATATGGTGAAGAAGAACGATCTCGCTGCTTATCATGCCGGGAGCGAAGGGGAGTTTCCCTTGGGCGAATCTGAGCTAGAACTGTACGCCATCGTTGATGAGATCGCCGACGTCTATGCCAACATGAATATCCCCGTGCTCCTGTTGCAACTGATCCTGCTGCCGGTGGTTTATCAGGGCTTCAACAAGCGGTTGGACTGGGCGAACTGGGTGGTGAGAATGGTCCACGCATCCCGAGCCGACAAGAGTGGCCTGTTGACCATCCCGGCGGAGGAACGCATCCACAGTTGCAAGTATGATACCGGATCGGGAGCGAGCCGGTTTGCTCGGGCTGGTGGAGGCTTCCACCTGGAAGGTTGGTTGTCCCAGCGCCACAACGGCGAAAGCAAGATCAACTGTTACGACCAGGCCCACTTCCTGTGCCTCTGCCTCAACCTGGGCTTCCCTTACCGGCTCAACAAGTCCCTGAAGAAAGAAGACGACAAGAGCAATGAGAACTATACAGTAGCCATCTACTGGAAGGGCGGGCTGGATGGAGATGGCCTGCCTCGCTTTGGGTACAGCAAACGGGGTCACCTCGTTGGCTGGGGAATGACGAATGATCCCTTATTCAGTGGCCATAAGCGGGCGATAGATGACTGCTTGGACGACGATGTGGATCGCTCCGAGTTTTCCAACCACAAGTGGGTTTCCATCCGTCGGTCCGATCTCAAACGAAAGGATGCAGACAATCGGTACGCGGCGGATGCATGCGCATTGTCGGAAATCGTCTGGATCAACAAGTACCTGGAGACCGCCATTGACTCGGCGACGACAGCAGCAACGGGCAGAGCCGGGTATGAGGACTGGGAAATAGGGACAGTGAGCTTCCGCGACTGGAAAAAGCAGCTCGAGCTGCCCAAGGGGACGGAATGGCCGCAGACATGGCCGTCAATTCTATACCCCATAACCGACATTAGCCCCTTGGGAAGCCATGGACGTGAACTGAAAGCCGATTGGAAAGATACGAAACCTGTTCCTTCCAATGTGGCCGATAAACTGAAGATGCTTCGCAGCCAGGGTGATATTCCTTGTGCCGGGTTCCCCGCGTATCGATTGTTTGAGGAGCTCAAAAATGCCGTCGCCCGGTCCATTCCTGGAGGTTGGTGGGATCTTCCCACTGCCGATACTGATGAGAATATCACGAGAATCAAATATGTCTTTCAACTTCGCCGCGATGACCATGGATCTTGGGTTAATATGATCGAGTGTCAGATCACAATCTTGGACAGTTCCCAATCCGCGATGAGGGAAGTCGAGCACGAACTGTTAAATATGACTAGGATACCCAATAACGGCGATATCAAGTTTCCGGAAGTCCAGGGCGCCGATCTCTCACTTTTGTTTCATGACTCCGTCTCACGCTGGGATATTCTGCTGTTCGGGAACATCGTGATGCAAATCTCGGCGCGTAAACCGAATGGAAAGATACCGTATGGATTGGATGATACTCAAATGGACAATCTGCGAAAGAGTATCGCAGACTTCTACCGAAACAACAAGAGGGAAATCCCAAAGACAGGGCCAAATCTCGACTTCTCCGATGCCAAAATGCCTAGCGAGGTGTTGATGTGCACCCCTCACAAGATTGTCTTCAAGGTATGCATGCTTGATGCCTCCTGACAAAGGCCACGTTCAACGGGTATAAGCTGCTAACTGGTAATGACATAGAACCCGGGCTTTGCACTCATGTATGCCTATTCCAAGAATGCGGTAAGCGATAATTTGTCTTTTTCATATAGTTACCTTGCCTTTAGTATTCGGCCTGATTGGAGTTGTTCAGGAACTCCGCGTCGAGCAGCCCATCCCGGATAATACAAACAAGCCGACGACATGGAGACTCAATTTCTTGGCCAAAAAGCTTGGGAATGATACCAAGCAGTCCTCGGAAGAGGCGATTTCCTTCTTCACGGCCGACGAAGAGACTTATCATCCCCGAACGACCACCTGGAAATTGAATATCCAACACCAGTACCAGCCCCGGCAGGTGGAGATCCTCAGTGCCGCCTGGGATGGTGCAGACAGCACCGAGGAGGTCCGGAACGCGTTTCAAGATGGCGACAACGTGCACATCTATTGGAAACCCGAGCCGCCCCTGACAAGTATAAAAACTAGAGAAAAGATTCAAAAATCTCTTTCTGTGTTGCATCGAGTGGGCGCTGAGCTCCGCATCTTTGTGTGCAAGCAAAGCGCGTTCGAGCACTACCTGAGGATGGGAGATATCAGCCAACTGCGCGATTTCGAATATTTGCCAAGTCCCGGAGACAGTTTATACTCCAACAAGTTCAGCTATTGCAAAGTTGTGAGTCCACTTCCGAAGCCCGCCGACCTCAATGCCGAGATTCTGGCCATTGTGTACGGCTCGAAGGAAATTCGTGACCCAAAGGCCTACAAATATTGTTACAGCTGCCTGCGAGATGGAAAGCCGATTCACTGGGTGAGATTAAACTTTTTCGATACTCGGAATGAGGTGGTCAAGCCAGCGGTGATCTATTACACTACCGATGGGCGAAGGACTGTCAGACAAATCGGTGGTTTTGAGAACTCGATGACCATGTGGAATCTTTAATTCATTATAAGCAGTCAAGAGGGACTTACCTATGCAGAATAAATACATTGATGATCAATTTTGCTTGGCTCACAACTCATATTTTGCTACTTCGATAGGGTTTCTAGGACATCCACGACGTTCCAATGCGGACAGACTCGCCAAGGAGAGGTGAGGAGTTATATTGAATTGGTAAATACTTGCTTGGAAGCTCGGTGTAGAAGCACCTAGAAAGCGAATCGTCACCCCAGTCAGTACTCTGATGGTTCAGTCTTGCAGGAGGAGTTGCCAAACCATCCCATTTCCACAACAACAGGCCTATACAGGAGCTGTCGTGAGGTTGTCGATCCAGAAGTAGCTGGAAGATCTCTTTCAGGAATAGGGCAGCCACCATAATCAGGCAGTCCGTCCAGAACTAGTATCTCAATAACACCCCAGGCTCTGATCATCTTCAAGCAATTGTCTGATCCTCTAGGTATCCCCCTTTTGAATCGATTGATGGAGCTCAGGCAGTTTTTCGACCTAGGAGAAAGAAATCCCAGTCAGCAGGGATCGAGACAATACACTACACTGTGGCTTACCGACTGTTCCATGAAGCGATGGACTCGACAATTCCGGGGATAAACACGGGAGAGCTCTTTGCTCTACGCGAAACGGAAAGATTGTGGTTGACGGAGAGAGTAGGAGAAGAAAGAAGGTGTGCAGGCAGCAGCAGAGTGAAGTTATCACGAGTCACTGTTGCTGCCTGAGGCTGGTGTGTTTCTGCCCCAGGCAGACACTGGACCTGCCAAAACCGGCAGGAGCCCATCATTGCCTCAACTTCGTCTTCTCCCAATTTCCTCTCCTCCTCTCCCCTCTTCCCCGGCCCTCGCAGTGAGTTTCGTCCCTTGCTAAATCCTGAATTCCGTCACGATCCTTGTCGCACCACCTATCTCCAGTTCTGAAATGTTTTCAATGACCGAGGTGATCAAAACGGTGGATGTGAGTATCCTGGACTCCCCAGTCTCCTCAGCGAACGACCTTCACTCATTCAATCCAAAGTTTGGTCCAGTTCCTGTAGCCACTGAGACTCTCGGCTTATTCTATCGCAACGCAATCAACGAGACTCAAGCAGCACACCACAAACTTCCTCGGTTCGCCATTTTGGCCTTCAAGTTCAAGTCAGACGACGGCGCCGGGCGGTTTGATATGGACTTTGGCGTTAGTCCCGTCCTATCTAGTCAAGAGACACCCTCACTGACAATCTGCTGGGAATGTATAGCTCCATGCCACCGATGAGACCACTGTCGAACAACGCGTCACCTGTTTTGTCAATGGCATCAATTCGATCTCGGCCCAGGATAAATTTGAAGGGTTGAACTTGGAGATTCGGGTGACTTTCCAGATCGAAGCCGACAAGTGAAACCAAGCGGAGACAGGTGAACAAGGTCGGCGGTGAGGCTATTTTCTACAATTCTTGAGAGCAATCAGCCAGTACGACGGGTATCTGTAGGGCTCAATGGCACTTCAGTGGAATCAGAACCTAGAACAAGGGGTCCTTCATCTACTGTTTTGTTCTCTTATCCATCGTATTAAGAATAGGCTGTAAAAATCCGTCTTTCGTGCTTGCCATCGCAAAGTTAAATGAAGTCATTGCCAACGGACACTGAACAATCATAGAATTTGCGGAGCCTCTTAGGAGTAGTCAGGGACTCGGTTGCAAAGTGCTAGTGGACAAAATCGATATACAGTCTTCTGACAAGTCTCTCGGTAACTCTGGAAGGGCTTTTCTAAACAAATAAACGAGATTTAAAGCTTGAATTATGAATAGAGCGTGCCTAATACGCTCCTTAGAAGGGTTGGTGAGACCGGAATACTTGGACGACATGACAAGCATCGAAAGTTCACGAGTCGCGACAGAATCAAGTACCCTAGACAATCACTTTCCACAGTTCATCAGAGTATACTAGAATGAGTTGAACAGGCCACTTTGCCTATACTGTGGTATATCCCACCTAAACCGTTAGCAGGGCATGATTAGAATGGATACAGGGCTAGTATTTTTCAATTCACTCGCAATCTCAACCATACTAGTGCATCTGCATGTCGCATCACAGCTTAGGCTTTCTGCATCCCAACTTTATGCAAGTGCTATCTTAGACTCGCTGCAATATCGGGCCGTTTATCTCACTGCATTGTCTCAGCCCCAATGGCGTCAATCAGCGACAATCAAGCCGGGGTAGTTGGTCTAGAACTTGGAACATGATAAAAGCCTCGACTGGGTAGGGCTTACGGCATGCCTACGGGGATCTGATAACGCAAAAACAAGATGGCCAACCTGGCACCTCCCTTTGTGGCCGTGGAGGGAGTCCCCAACTTTCGCGATCTAGGCGGCCATCCATGCCACCCTCCCAGCACCCTCTCAGCAGAACAGCAGCAAGGATCCTGGTGTATACGACCGGGCTTCCTGTTTCGCTCCGCGCAGCCGTCCCAGATCACCGTCGCCGGGGTGGAGACGCTGACCAAGACTCTCAGGATCAGCGCCGTATTCGACTTTCGCTCCGAGACGGAGATTCAGTTGGTGGCCTCACGGTACCCCGATTCGCTGCTTTGCATCCCGGGGACCACCCGATACGCCATCCCTGTTTTCGAGGAGGAGGGCGATTATTCTCCAATCTCACTGGCCAAGCGATACGGCACAGCCCAGACGGTGACTACTGCTGCTGCTACCAGCGGGTTTGTCAAAGCATACGAGGAGATAGCGCTCCAGGCGGCCCGGACGGGGAGTTTCCGATCTGTCATGCTGCAGATCCTTCAGGAGCCAGACCATCCAATCCTCTTCCACTGCACGCTCGGAAAGGACCGTACGGGGGTCTTTGCTGCCCTGCTTCTCAAGCTGTGCGGGGTCGCCGACGAGGAAGTGGTCGCCGAATACGCACTCACCACCATTGGAATCGGCGCATGGCGTAAGCACTTGATTCAGCGGCTGCTGCAGAGGGGCGACGCGGCCACTCACGAGCAGGCAGAAGCTATCGTGGCCAGTGATCCGGGGGATATGCGGGGTTTCTTGGCGGACGTGGTGGACACCAAGTTTGGGGGCGCGCAGCGGTACTTTGTCGACCAGTGTGGACTTTCAGAGAGTGAGGTTGATTCTATTGTGGCCAGCCTGGTAGTTTCAGTGAATTAAGCCTAGCATTGCAATCTGGGGCCAAAAATCTTATGGCAATCGTAGTCAAGACTATCGAAACAAACAAAAAAAGAAGCCAGCTGAATCAATCAAGAGACATGCGGGCGAGGATTCTTCTAAACTCATGGTTCTTCTGGAAACCCTGCTGCTCAAACTGCTCTATCAATTCCATGGCTTGAGCTTTCAGCTCTCTGACGAAATCCCGCGTATACTGGAATGTATTGGTTGTTTCCATGTAGGCAAGCGCATGGCGTTTGATGTCGTCCTCTTCGGGTTTCTGCTTGAGAATGTTGATGAGTTGTCGATTACCGGGATTGGCCCGGATGCTGTGGATAATGGGGAAGGAGAACTTTCCCTCAGTGAGGTCCTCGCACAAACCCTTGTTGTGGGTGTACGTGGTCGACTGGAGGTTCAGGTAGTCGTCGCAGATCTGGAAAATGACCCCCAGCAGACGCACGAGAGGAACAAAATCTACTTGAACACTGCTCTCTGCTTGCATGAGTTGCACAGCAAGACAAAACAGGCCCCCGGTCTTGTTGGCAACCATGTCGAGGTATTCTTCCTCCGTAGGACAGATCTGGGAGTCTCGCCAGAAAAGGTCCATGCCCTGACCGCGATGCAGGTGAATCAGGGAATCGACGTAGATAGACACCGCCTGGGGGTTTCTCAGGCTCTCAATCTCACGTAGAGCGAGGAAGTAGACATAGTTCCCCGAGTTGAAGGTCTGGGCTGTACCGAAGATCCGATGCGCAGTAGGCAGCCCTCGGCGCAAGTTCGAGTTGTCTTCAATATCATCCACAAGCAGAGATGCTGTGTGCAGCATACTGACGACCTTGTCTACCACCTCTAAGCTCGTGCCGGGAATCTGAAGCCACGTGTTGAAGGCATGGATGAACTGCGAGCGTATCCCCTTCCCAGGCATGGTTTCGAGATATTCAAACGGCCCGAGGAGGATCTGTTCCTGTTCCATGGTCCATGCTGGCGGTCGGCAGTGTCTACCGGTATCGGCGACCGGGAGAGGAGACTTATCGCTTTCCACACCGTCGATCTTGGGTTGGAAGCCGTTAGGTGCCTGCACCTGGCCGTTGGTGGAGCTGTCCACAACTTCCTCGATCTCTACCTTCACTCCATTCAACTTGGCGGAAACGCCGTTCACCTGGACAGATTCCGGCTCTTCTTCAAGCAGGTTGGCGGCCTTTTTCAAGGCGGCTAGAGTATAGGCTTCAGATAGAACTTCGGACCCGTAGGTGACCTTTTCCACCCACAACCGATCAATACCATCCCCGCAATCCAGCGAGGCAAGATACGCACTCCCCCTGACAATTGCTGTTCGGATAGCCTGACGCGTCTCCCTGGACGCCTCGAGAGGCACCGCATACGCTAGAGTCAGCACTGCATATGCTGTCTCCTCTCTGGACCCTCTCGCCCCCCACGATCCGGTTGTATTCTGCTGATTGACAAGGCAGGCTACCATCTCACTCAGCAGCCCTGGTAACTCCGTCGCGACCAGCTCATTCGACAGCGACTGCACCCCCCCCTGGTGCCAGAGATCCCATAGCCTCGCGACAGCCTGAGCCATCAGCATCCAGGAGTAGAATGGACTCAAATTCTGTTTGTTTCCCCTCGTGTCAGCTTTTCTGTGGTAATCACCCAACGCAGCCAGACAGCCCTTCACTCACCCATTTGTCTCGTACGTTCAACTGACTGTTTCGAAACTGCGTGTACAGGAAACGACTGGCCTTGTCGATCTGCGCCGTGTACCTCTCCACCTCTGTAGCATTGACCAACGCCAGCAGTACGTTGCAGTTGGCCGAGAAGCTGGGATCTCGCTCGTGAGGATACGTGCGGAAGTGGTGACGCGTCTCGAACGCGTCCAGCATGGGGTCACATGACACCTCCCGGTCGAGAAGGCGCAACGTCAGGATTGTTTTGGCCGTGTCGTCTGCATCAGCACCCACGCCTGGCAGGAAGCCGACGGTGCCTCCCTGTGCGGTGAATGAGGAAGCCAGGTAAGCACATGCTTTGGAGACGGGAGCTGACGTGTCTGGCTGTAGATCGAAGCCGGCGCCGAGGAGAGTCGAGAGCCCCCAGGTCAGCTCGAAGATGGTGGAGGGGAAGGCGCTGGGCACTCCGCCCGACCCGTGGCCTGCGGCACAGTGGAGGACGTGGCGGAGGTACTGCTCGCAGTCATCGTCCCAGTGAGAGGAGTACATGAGAAAGGCTGCGGTGGAGGAAGGGGAGGCCATGAAGGAGCCCTGGATCTTGTGGTGGGCCAGACGGTCAAAGTCGATGGACCCGATGAAAGCTTCGAGAGAGTGCACAGCGGGAGTCTGCACGGGGAGATAAAGGTACTCGGGCTGGAAGCGGGCAAGCTTTTCCTGGCGGATGGAAAACAGGCGGTCGCGGCCGGGGAAGGTGAAGCAGACGCCCTCCGCCGCGAGGTAGTCTAGCAAGGCGGGAACAAGAAGCTCGAAGCCGACGTGGACGGTGCCGTCGACCTCCCATCTGTCGAGCTGTGTCTGGAGAGCAGCTGTGGCGCGGTCAATGCGCTCAATGAGTGGCTCCACGGGGGTCCCCTGCATCTGGTACGGGCTGTTGAGGTGCCTCTTCAGCGCCAGGAGCGATGCGGCTGTGTTGAGAATACCGTCGATGGAAGAGGCGTACGCGATCCAGCTGCCATCGTCGTGTTGGTGCTGCAGGAGATACTCGAAGCACTCTGGGAACAGCCAGAAAGTCTCCCCGTCGACTGTCTTACTGACCATCGACACCCACGCGGTGTCATAGATAGCCGGGCTCATGAATCCTGATCCATACGGGCTGTCTATCTGTTCAGTCAGCCGGGCAACCAAGCCCTCTGCAGACTGCTGGAGGAATGCTGTGTCCATTGTGTGTGCTCTTTCATCTATACGACTGAAGTCGGGCGAGGGCATGGCTCTGTTCTAACAGTAGGCCTTTTTTATACTGTCGCAGACAACTTCCCTCCTTCTGGATAATGAGACGCCTGACTGGCTAAAGCGATACGACTGGCCCTCCTCTCAGCTGCAACGGTGGCGGCCATGTTCCCCCAAAAGGAAAGATAAACACCCCTGTCTATGCTATCTATGACCCCTCAACAGTGAAGCTGGACCAGCCTGAGGCGTGCAAGGCTCACGTCAGCCTTGACAGCTCCTCACCCTGTTCACCCCAAAGCACGCATCTCAACTCGATTCAACCCGTTTATCTTGGCGTTGTCAGCTGTGGCATGTGATATCCCCGATAAATCCCCAAGGCTGCCTTGCCAAGATTGACTGCAAAGTAATCCATTCCCCTGGTTGGCTGGATCGCTCTCTGCAGAATACGAGCACTCTATCTGCTTCGCCGTATCCCGCAGCGGATAGACCCGCACAGGCAGGAAGCTGCATATGGTTTTAAGATGTAATTATTACCTAGTACACGTTTTTGCATACTGCTCGTATTTCCTCTATCCAGAGGTATTACCGAGCACTTCCCCCGCTTTGGTCGATGGCGAGCATGGTATTTAAGGCCTGGATGAAGGTGTGTTGGACGTGATACTCCTGGCTTATGAGTGTACGACATTCTGAGAAGCTCCAATAGGGTGTTCATTTTCACGGTACATCATGATGCCAAGTGCTGTTCTGTCCAGCCTATCTTTTCCTCAGGGAGTGGGATTGGTATTGGCTATGGTATTATATCCCGACCGTGAGAGGAAAATGGTGATATTAATAGTGTTGACAGCTGGTCGCGTATATGACTGGCGTGGCCATCTACCGGATCTACTTCCACCCACTGTCCAAGTATCCCGGGCCCAAGTTGGCCGCTGCAACCCGTCTGTGGTGGTTACGTCAACAGCTGAGCGGACGCTTCCCGTTCGTAGTGCACGAGCTGCATCTACAGTACGGCGATATTGTGCGGATTGCACCGACGGAGCTCTCCTTCACGGGTGCCGACGCCTGGAAGGAGATCTATGGCTTCCGCAACGGGTTGCCCGAGAACCGCAAGGATCCTGGCGAGAACACAGACGCAGATAAAGCACATCCGACCATTATCAATGCTGACCGCAAGACCCACGGAGATCTACGGAAGTTGCTTTCCAACGCCTTCTCCGACAAGGTGCTCCGGGGACAAGAGCCGGTGTTGCTGCATTATATTGATCTGCTAATCCAGCGTCTCCAGGAGGTGGCAGACAAGAGAGAGCCAGTTGATATTGTCCGATGGTTTAACGTGGGTGTTCTTCCTTGGTTGTTTTCTCCTTGATGCTCTCTGCTGAAGACATGTCGATGCAGTATGTCACATTCGATATCATCGGCCACCTGGCCTTTTACGAACCGTTCGATTGCCTCCAGAACACCGAGTACCACCCATGGATGTCAATGATCTTCAACGCGATCGTGTACGTGCACTATATCCGCAGTCTACAGCGGTTCATCGATATCCGGTCGATTATCCTGGCGCTGATGCCCGCCCGCATCGTGAAACGGCGCGCGTGGCATATCGGCCTGGTGGAGGAGAAGGTGAAACGGCGGCAGCAGCGCCATCCGGACTATATCGACTTCATGAGCCATCTGCTGCAGGCAGAAGAAAAGGGCCATCTCACCCTCCCGGATCTGGTGGCCAACGCCAACCTCATGGTTATCGCCGGCAGCGAGACGACTGCCACAATCCTGTCGGGAACAGTATATTACCTGTGCACGCATCCACGCGTGATGAGCAAGTTGGTGGAAGAAGTGCGGACTGCATTCCAGGCCAGTCATGAGATCAACATCTCGCGCATCAGCCAGCTCAAGTACATCAACGCCGTCCTCGATGAATCGTTCCGCCTGTATCCACCTGCCGCAGGGAGTCACCCACGCATCACTCCGCCTGAGGGGGCGCGCATTCTAGGTCAATGGCTTCCAGGAAATGTATATTGCTCTAATTATAAGATCGAACACCACTGGCTTTTTGATGCTAATCATGGTAGACCTCCATGGGCATGGCCCAGTACGCTGTCTTTCGCTCCCCGGCCAACTTTAAGGACCCCGATCGGTATCTCCCTGAACGATGGCTCGATACAGATGGGCCCTATGCCAACGATCGACGTGAAGCACTGCAGCCGTTTTCTTTTGGGCCACGCAACTGCATCGGACGGAAGTAAGTTTTTTCTCTAGCAAAGGGGGAACTGTATTGTGTGGTAAAAAGCTAACGATCAGCCTGGCGAACATCGAGATGCGACTCATTCTGGCGAAGATTCTGTGGCATTTCGATATCGAATTGATGCCAGAATGTCGCCACTGGCCGCAGGAGCAGTACATCTACACTTCGTGGGAGAAGATTCCGCTCAAAGTTCGTATTACGAGTAGATAAGGTAAATACTGTACTTACCAAGTTCAAATACCACAAACGAATACGCCGTATGATAACAAGGGAGTAGATGCATTGCAGTAGTATAAATAGCGTTTATCCTTCGACTCTCAATGCTATCTCAGTGAAAATAATTATGGCTGCCTGGATCATCATTGTCGGCTGTGTCTTCCATGCCGTTTTGTGGAAGTCTACCAGATGGCCTACCCTATTGTCTATTCCTCTCACACTGTTTGTTCTTCTGGTGTGGAAGGTTCTTCTCTGGCCATTCGTCTTTAGTCCCCTGCGTCGATTGCCAGAGCCAAAGGTGAGAATTATTTTATATCTGAAAATTGTGTCTTTCTAACGCATCAAGGGCGGCCATCTCCTCACCGGCCACACACATCTCGTCCCCAATGAACGATCGGGAATGCCTCACGACGAATGGATCAACGAGATACCAGACGTCCCACTCGTGCGCTACCGGATGCGCTGGAACAAGGAGGTCGTGTTTGTGACGAGTGCGCCAACTCTGGCGGAGGTCCTCGTGCAGAAGAACTACGAGTTCAGCAAGCCGGCGAGTCTGCGACGGGGGTTAGGACGGATTCTCGGCGTGGGATTGATTGTCGCCGAAGGACAGGAGCACAAGGTAGGACTTGCTTCATTGCCCATATCGAAAACGATATTCAGTTAATTTCCAGACACAACGCAAACTGCTGATGCCGGCGTTCTCCCACCGACACGTCAAGAACCTGTACCCTGTCTTCTGGGAGCAGGCATGTCGGCTCGTCGAGGTGCTGGAGGAGGAAACTGGAAAGACAGGACAGGCTACATTGGACATCACAGACTGGCTGGCGCGCGCGACGCTGGATATCCTCGGCGTAGCAGGGCTGGGCGAGGCCTTTGACACGCTGCACCATCCAGACCACGAGATCTGCACCGCGTACCGGGGAGTGTTTGAGCAGCGACGCCCTGCAGGAAGAATAGCGCTGCTCTTGATGATGGCTCGTCATGTATTGAGCCCCGTGCTGCCTCAGCGAGACCCTATCAGCGTCGCAACGGAGACCTTGACGGGGGTTGCGCGGCGATTGATCGCCAACAAGACAAGGCAGACCGGTGCCTCTGCCTCTGGAGGGAAAGATATCATCTCTGTTGCCCTCTCGTCCGGCCAGTTCACAGACCGCATGCTCGAGAACCATCTGCTCACTTTCCTGGCTGCAGGACACGAAACCACCGCCACGACGCTGACGTGGGCCGTGTACGCGTTATGCCTATACCCAAAGGTACAAGAGCGATTACGGGAAGAACTGCGTCAGAGTCTTCCCATGCAGGACTCTGCCGTCACTGCCGAGTCCCTGGACACCCTTCCCTATCTGCAGGCCGTGTGTAATGAAGTGTTGCGCGTGTACCCCCCCGCAGGACTCACACGACGCATCGCCGTGCGCGATACTCTCGTCCAGGGCCAATTCATCCCCGCCGGTACCGAGTTAGCGATCGTGCTGCGCGCGACTAACCTCTCGACTCGGCTCTGGGGTGCCGATGCGCGAGAGTTCCGCCCAGAGCGTTGGCTAAAGACACCCTCTGGCGGCGGCAGTACATCCAACTATGCGTTTATGACGTTTCTGCACGGTCCGCGGTCGTGTATTGGACAGGGGTTTGCGCGCGGGGAGTTTGCGTGTCTCCTGGCAGCGCTGGTGCGGGCGTTTACCATTGAGTTGGCCGAGGATGGACCCATCGTCATCGAGACGGGGCTTACTTCTAGACCGAGGGGAGGGTTGAAAGTACGTTTAACGCATGTATGATATATTTGCATGTAATCGGTCGTGTCTACCTGGTCACCGTGAGGTTCTTCATCACATCCTTGCCGAAATCTTGTAGGGCGACGCGCGTCCAGTCCGGCAACGCTCTCATCCACGCCGACATCCCTGAAGAAGAGGGGATGGAGACATTCTGGCTCTCGCCACTCCATACCACTTGCGCTACACCCTCTGCGACGGCTTCTGCAGACAGCAGTTCGATCCCTGGGGGCATCTGGATCCCTGCGAACATGGCCGTCGAGACCGCCGAGGGGGCCACGCACGAGACTCGAACGGCACGCGCGGCTGTGGCTGCGTGGTGTCGCAGTTCGGTGTGCACTCCCTCGTAGACAGCCAGAGCCGCTGACTTGGTCGCGGCATAGGCTGTGATGCCCGCCGTGGCGAGGTGGGCAGTCTGCGACGCCATAATCACCAGATGGCCGTGGTTTCGCGAGACCATGTCCGGGACGAACGTCTTGATCGTCCAGATCAGACCGAGGCTGTTGACGGAGAATATCCTAGCTGATCAGTTTCTGTCTCTCAGATCGTTTTCAAAATGCATCATACTGTTCGACATCTCTCTCCGTGGCCTGGAGGAGAGGTCTCCCACGACAGATTCCCGCATTCGCTATCACACAGGTTGGCGCTCCGACTTCCCTATACAGCGTCAGTATAGATAGAAACAGTGCTTGGAATCCTACCTCCGGATTATCTCTGCTGCAGCCTGTAGATCTGCATACTGCGTGATATCGCAACGGTAGTAATGCAGGTTTTCAGGCGGATCAAAGCTCAACGGCAGGATATCCAAGATGACGACTGTCGTCTTTCTCCCGGCGAGAAGCCGTGCCGTCGCTGCACCGATCCCGTTCGATCCGCCTGTTATCACGACGATCTCCTTGTTCCAGTCGAAGCTGGCTGGTGTTGCGTTGTTCAGGGCGCGGCGGCTGAAGAACCGGTTCGTACGGTATATCAGCCAGGGAAGGGGGAGTGCGCAGAGAAAGTAGAAAGGCAACATTGGTGTGAATATGTAGATGTTAAACAGTAGAAGCTGGCAGGCTGCTGACTTTATAGTTGGCTGGGGTATTATACTCGTATCGAAATGGTTTTTTTCAATCTTGCCGTCCTCCGGTCCACCAGTACGGAGTATATTCTAGTAATAATTGAAATGATATATTTAATACTAGAAGCTTATAAAGTAGTCTCTGTAATCATACAATGACCACTCTAGGATCAGTCTATTGAGCCCTCTATACTTTGTTTATCTTATCCCCTATAGGCAAGTATCTATTAAACATAATAATAAAATATTATAGTAAGATAAGTATAATAGTACTCTGAGGAACATTAATAATCTGTTGCACTGCAGGCGGTGGCTATAGGCAGAAGTAATAGAAGCATACACTACTTGTTGCAGGAAAGGATGACCTTGAGGCTGCCAATCAGGATGATTTGCGTATATTTACACTGTCACCTGACTAGTTAAGCCTAATATAGTTAATATTATACTCTAATTTTTTATTTACTTAATATATCTGGCCTAACTAATGTTAAATATGCTAAGTAGTATATAAATTATATAGAAATATAATACTATTAGCCTTAAATATATATAGGATTTATTAAAGTTATAAGCCTAATTAACTCTTAATTATTATTATATTTATTTATAAGCTTTAAAGATCTATTAAAGATATAAAACTATTATATTAATAATACTACTAAGTTAAAATAATATTTATAAACCTATACTATATATATAGACTATTAATATACTACTAATAAGCTAAAGATAATAAGCATTCTAGATAAGATATTAGATAATATAAAGATATTAGTTTTATTAAGGAATAATATAGATTAATATCTTTAGTATAACTATAAAGCCTTATAAATTATTATAGATTTATATAATATCTAGGATTATATTAATTTAGATAATAATATAGAACTAGAGCTGCTAATAGCTCTAGATATTATAGATTATAATAAAGAGGTATAATTATTTAGGGACCTAAAGGGATACTAACTAATTATATATATTAAAGCTAATAAAAAGTATTATTATAAGTAAAAGAAATATAAATAATTAAAGATAAGGATCTCTTATATCTTAAGCTATATATTTTAGTATATATAGACTAATCTCCTAACTATTATAGCTAATAATAATATTATAAAGAGGATGATTAAGTAGTTATAAATATATTTAATATTAATAAAGATATACTATAAAGCTAAGTTAATAAATTAATAAAGAAATATTAATAATAAATATATATTAAAGACTAATCTAAATAAATAATTAAATAGTTAAAAATCTATATATTATAATTATAAAAATATAAGGATTAGAGCTGTTATAAATAAGGTATAGCTAATACTATAGTTCTTAAGCTATATTAATTAACTTTATAAAGACTATATATTAAATATAGAGTTAAAGCTTTAATATAAAGACCTATAAATAATAATTATTACTAAATTATTAATAGATTTTTAATAATATTTTATAATATAATTAAGTAAGTATACTAACTCTATAAATATAGTATTTATAATATATAAAGGATAAAATAAAAATAAATAAAAGAAGACTAAAAAGAAGGCTAATAAGAATTAAACTTAAGGGTCTTATAAGCTAAAAAAAAGGGATAAATATATATATAGTAAATAATATCTATTTAATATATATTTATATATTAATAAGTATATCTAGAAGCTAGAATAGAAACTAGATAATATTATTATAAAGAGATTTAAATAAGTAGAGAAGAGAATCCTTATACTAAAAAGTATTATAAATAAGGCCTATAAGAAGGTAAATAAGCTCTATATAAAGAGAGGAGAGATATATAATACTAATATTATTTATTAAATATATAATATTTATAATATATATATTTAATTTAATAAGGATAAGTATATAATTAAGAGCTCTATAATAAGCTAAGCTATTAATATAAATAATATATATATTTAATAAAAAGTAGATAGACTATTTAATATAAATAGTATTATAAGATATATATTAAGTAATAGCTATATCCTAGATTTAGGTGCAAGTATATATATCTATAATAACTAATCTAGATTTATTATATATATACTAGTTAATAATATATTATAGACTAGTATAAAGTATAGCCTATATAAAAGAATAAATATAATTATAATATATCTTAAGATAGTTAATAGATATTAAACCTCTCTAGATCTTAAAGATATAACTTATACCCTAAGATTCTATATAAATCTTATATTATATAAGTAATTAAAAGAGAAAGAATTATATTAAGATAATTTAAATATATAACTTATAAATAGACTAATTAATATTTATATTATTTAAAATAAGTATAATTAATTTATACTTAAATATAATAAACTATAAATTATATTTATAATAGATATAATATTCTAAATTATAATAATAGTTATAATTAATAATAAGAAGGTTATAAGTAAAGATTTATAAAGATTATAAAAACCCTTAATAATAAAGAAAACTATAAAAAGATAATATAGATAATATAGCTATATTAAATATAACACCTTAAAGTATCTTATAGGTGCTATTAATAGTATTAAAATTATAAATAATATTAAGAAGTTAAAGAGTAAATATTATATTTATAGACTTATCTTTACCTTATAAAAAATATTAAGATAACTAATAATATATATAAATAGACTATTTAAATATATATACTTTAATCTTATTTAGATAATTATAAGCTATAATAGCCTAAATTA